GATATCGCATCCGAGCTTCCGTCTGGTAGATCAAACTTGGAAGGTAAAAGTTGGAAGGTGCACGAGGCAAGGACATGCATTTTAGTCCCGTCGGATTGGGGCAAGGTAGAGGTGGCGTTCGAGTGAAAAGGCGGAGAGTAGAATGCGCAGCTACATTTGTTACATGGCTGTCGTTGATGATCCCAAGAAATCACCGAAAGTGAACCATTGGATGAACAACGGAATCTCGAAATTAGTCAACACCCATCAGTATCTGGCCACGGAAGAATGTTGTATCCTCCTGGCCGATTCCTGACCGCTGCTGTGTTGCTCACTTTCCATCCCTCTTCCACTCAGTGTCATCCATCTCCGGATTGACCTGCGGGTACATCCAGGGGGTCCAACGTCCAGACCTTCGTAAACTTGTGCAGGTAAACTTACTGCCATGACATCTGTTGAATTCACACTTGAGGTCCGCGTTACGTGAGTGAAGGGATGCTTGAGTCGTATACCATATGATGGTGTTATGTTAGGAGACACGCTTTCGGAGTTATAAGAATTTTTTTAAAATATAAAAACAATCTAGTGCTTCTATTCGCCATGCATATATAAAACCAATTATCAAAATTAAAATAAAATGTCAAGCTTCAATAAAAGATGATATATCAAAATTATGAAAACTCATAGCCCAGGATAAAAAGACTGTTTCTACATCAAAAATTACAAAAACTGAAGCCTTTCAATTAAAATGGGGTTGGTTCGAATTGCAGAACAAAAATACAAGCCGCGAAACAGAAGCTATAAAATCCTATAATTTAGAATCAATTGGAGCAAGCTCCGTATCTAAGTTCACAATTGTGGTCAGAGAGGGGAATTTCTAGAGAAAAACTTAGCGATTAATTTGGACATATCATACAATTATACTGGCCGTTCCCTTAACACAGAGCGACTGTGGTCGAGGGGCATCGCTGAGAAAAGATTTTAACAGTTTCAGAAATGCGTTCCAATGTCATTTGGCGCATAACTAGGAGCGACTTCGTGTCATATAACCACCTTTCATAACCACGTGATCTGATCACCAATTGAACTGCGCATTTGTGAAAACATCCCTAAGTTGGTTTTGGAATTCTCAGCTTTGGGACTGGTCTTGTGTGGGAATCAACCTAAATTGTTCCAAATTTTGTATTTTCCTAGCTATTTCTATCTCTTCACACAGCACAGTCCATTATTTAGGGGTTTTCATACATTTGTAGCTAAGCAGACACAATAGAAGAAAAGGGAAAGGGGACAAGAGAGAATGGAAAAGGAGAAACTGAGATTCGTGTTGACATGGCATGAAAGCTGGTAATATCAGACAGAGGGAAGGCCCTAGACCAGGTCATGATAAGCAGGAGACCACAATCGAATTGCAAGTATATTTAACCTCTGCATTTGTCTATTCATTTATTTATTCTGGGAGTGGCTCTATTTGTAGCGAAGGGGTTTTGTATAAGATTGTTCTGACTTGGAGATTTACTTGGAGACAAGGAGGTGCGCTGCGTTGGGATTCAGAGCAGGATTGGAAACTCTAGTAATGGGGTTTCGCTACTGAGATCTTCAAATCCACTCTTTTGTTCATATGCCAGTATACAAGACGGCCAAGTTTTTCATGTTGAGTAGCTTCCGACGAGACTACTGGAACGCGACCCAGTAGTCTCGTTCCAGTACTACGAGAACTGGATTGGCCGTGGCCTGTGGATAGTCGATTTCCAATCGACGATCCACAGGCACGGCGACGGCAAGCGAATGTTTTTCATGTTGAGTAGCTCACACATACATGCAAAGCCTCGTGCGAGTTTGATCACTTTCTCTCATGTGCAGATAATAAATTGTCATCCATGCTTGTACATATGAGAATTATGCTAGACAAGGCAAATGTGGTAGCGATGGAGCAACCATCATTGAAGTTGAATGGATTGGGAGAATAGGAGGTAGAAGTTTTTGTGTGACAAAAATTTCACACTCTTTTGTTGTGACTTATCTGAACATTAAGTTAGACGATAAAGTTTTATCAAATTATAGAGATGAGAGTGTACTTTCTTCACATGATATCAGCAGATAAATTTATCTTGGATTTGTTACATATGTTCATAGAAGTGAAGGATTTGTCCCTCACTCTCTTGTCAACAATAGTTACTTACTCTTGAAGCTTTTTGAAGTAGTTTTGTGTGAGTTGCCATCAGCAACATTAGTCATTTCAGTCCCATAAAAGATTTTCATGAAAAGCTGCAAAACCACTATAACTTGTACTTTATGTAAATAAGGCTACATACTTGAGTCTATGGTGAAGAAAATTGCTAGAAGTGAAATTCTTAAAACACATGGAGTAGTTGATCAAAAGTAATAAAACACATTGAAAATATTTGAAGATTAGTGAATGTATTGAGTAATGTGTAAGGAAATAGTGTGATACACTGATTACTAAATGAAAAATTGCCAATCATGTTCAAGTTAACCTTCTTGCAGTTAAATCAAGATAAAACGAGATCAAATTAACCTCCTTGCAGTTAAATCAAGATCAAATTAAAGATCAAATGAATCAGATGATATGTTATAAATCTGGTCACATGAAAAGTACTTGCCTATTAATAGCAAGATGTTACAAGGCAATTTTTATCCAAGACATCAAGACACACAAGACAAAATATGTATTAGCAAAGTTAGATTATATGATAAATCAATACTCTTCTCCTAGTGGGCTTCAATGATTAGGAAATATATATCCAGTTAGTAGAAATAAAACTCTGAAAAAGTGTCTTTAGATGATTTTTAGCTAGAGCATGTTATACTTAATTTCTTATTCATTTATGTGAACAGTTGTCATGATTTGCAAATTTTTTTCTGGAAGAATTAAAATAAAAAATGAAAAATAAGCCATATATGTAATATTTTTTATTTTTTAAGAGGTAATGGCATATATAGATCAACAACAGGAAAACTTGAAACAAAAGTAGACTTCTTTGGGGTTCCCGGCCCTTTATCCATGTGGACTCCAACATATGCCCCATCTACTAGCTCTTCAAAGGCCCGCGACTTCTGGCTTGACAGACCAGCGCTATAAACCACTAAGTTATTTCCCCAAAAGTGATAAGATAAAAAGGAAAAAACAGAGGAAAAAAATCAATTTGAGAACAAATTTGCAAACAAATCAACAATGTTTTCAAATTTAGATGTAGTGTCTAATCCTAGGATAATCAATCAGTCTGAATGACAAGATAATCTTCTAGTATCTAATCTACATGTTGCACTACTATTTGTATGATCATAGATAAACCAGCTCAACTCAAAAAGCGAATTACATTCTAGTATATCATCATAATCAAATCAATATGTACATGACTACAAACATAACAAAATTTGTTTTTTTTTTAACTTCCAATCGTCAAACAAAAAATCCTGTACATTTTGTGGATGAAATGTATCTAGATCGGTAATGACTGCATATTTCACTAAACAAGGTTTGATATTTGAAGTAGATCTTATTAGAATAGCCAAGTGTGATGAGCATAAGAATTTTTATGGTGTAAGATGTAATATTTGTGAATATATTATATGATTTTTTAGATTGAGCAAATGATCAAGACATGTTCTTTTTCCTCATGCAAATCAAAATTTAATATCAATAGATTTGGACTAAGGTTTAACAGTCTTCTTAAATTGACATCATTAGAAGAGAAGGATCATATTTTGAAAGACAGTAACCGCCATAGGTTACTATATGATCTTTTGTATCATTATATTGTCATTTATAGGCTCTAAAGTCAATGATTATGGCAATATTTCCTAGAACTAATCCTTTGATACAAAACTATGAACTATGTTGATAAATACAATGAACCATTATTTTACAAATGTTTGAAAATGTCTCAATTCATAAATATATCTATTTTTTATTATATTTTTATTTATTACACTCAATCAATACGGTTTTGTCAGTTTTCAGTATATGATTACTTACTGTTGGGATGTCGTATTCTCATCTCCCAAATTCACTTGCGCAAAATCATAGCTAACTTTTGTTTCACCATCAATTCTACTATTTAACACATATTCTTCTTATATGGATCATTAGATGAATTGTTTGATTGTTTTCTCGTCTTGGTTTTCAAATACAGAGAGCTGAAAGCGAAGAGAAATAAAGAGAGGAAAAGAAAGCTTGGAACTATGGAAATTATATTGAAGTGATGGACAACCCATATGACACATCACCCACCCTCACAAGTGCAAGTGTCTTTTATCGATGGAAGCGGTTGCAGCCAGATATGTCGTGGGATGTTCCTTGGTGAGAATAATTCTTTTCATGAAGATTTTCTGTTTTTGTGTGTTGTGTATTGGAGAGATCAAGTTACAAAGTCGTATGGAAAAGATAAAATGGGGTCAGATGAGGTTAAATAACAAATAAAATCCAAAAATGATGGAATAATAAATCAATGCAGAAAATAATGAAAAGTACCCAGAAAGCCCTACGGACAACAAACGGTATGAACACGCTGGACCCAAAAACATCAAATGGGGAAATACGCATCATAACATAACACATAGGGAAGAGGTCAACAGGAGCCGCAGCTAGTGATGGGGGCGGAGGAGACGCGGCGACCACGGGGACGACCGGACAAACAAGTGAGTGCATGGAGGAAGTTGGTCCGGGTCCCGGACGGACCGGTGACAGCAGCAGGTGCAGTGCACGGCGAGCGGAGCGGAGCCGAGAAGTTTGGGCCTTTGACCCGACCCGGCGCCTGCGTCGAGGATGACGTGGCCGGAGCTCATGGCGTATAGTAACAGAAATGCCCCCAGGGGGAAAGCAAGAACGCTATGACGACGTGGGGCCTGAGGATCGGACCCGAAGTGAACAGTACTGGGTCGCTGGGGACCACATCTCTCGGCTCTTCGGAGCCCTCAACAGTAAGCTCTCCGATGCTCCTCCTCTCGGAACAGCAGCAGCAGCAGCAGCGACTCCGCGAAGGGGGAGTATAGAACGAGACGCGAGGGGAGGACGGGAAGCTGCGCGGTGGTGGGAGGGAGGGAGAGTGGTGGTCACGGTGTGCAAGCATTTTGTGCGCCGCCTCTTCTCCTCGGAGTGCTCCCGCTCTCGACGTTCTTCCTTCCGAATGTCTCCAGCACACGTGAATTCCTTGCAATAGTTGGAATTTTCTCGGCGATCTGGACCACGATCTCATGCACTGCTCGTGTCGAATCACCAGACAGGCAAACGCCTCGAGCGCACAGCGTTGACGGGTCGCCCGGATTTTTTTGGCTCACTGCTCCGGGACCGGGCTGACTTCGTCCGTCTTGAGTTGCACGGCTCGGCGCACTCGGAGGTGTTGCTTGAAATTTCTGCATTTGCTTCTGTTCATCTTGCTGCATTGGTTTGTTGGCCCACTCGAGGAGGAGTACTTGAAGGAGATGCTATGATCATCACGTGCAAAGGAATCAGGAAGGTGTCTGCAGCAGCAGCTGTGGGTTGTGATTGAGGAGAGGTGTAGTAGGAGAAGGGTAGTCATTCGGATCGTGTAATCGGACGACAATTTCCATCGGTGGGTAGAAATGGAACTGCAGGCGATGGCCTCATCTTCTTTGGCGAGGAGTCCGTTCATGGGTTTGAATTCTGGAGACTCTTGTGCTGCTCGAATCACACCACGGTGCCTTGTTTCCAGGCGATCAGTCGGCAGCACCGGGCGATTCCCTATCGCACGAGAGCGGTGTGTTCATCGTTCTCATCTCGCACCCTCAGTTCCAATTCTATGAGTTCTGCATAGTTGATTGTGGCGAATTGACAGACCCTGGGCCACTTTCCTTTTTTTCGTTCAGCTTCAGTTCGATCATTCCACCATGCAGCTCTAGTTCCATCTTTCGAATGTACTGGACTCCCGTTTTATGAAATCTTCTTTTAATCATTTTGCTCGGATGGAACGATGCTGTTGTCTCGCTTCTTACAAGCTTGCCATTTCGTATCGACTGAAAGTCAGCAGATGGGTATTCATAACGGGATAACTGCGAAAGGCAATGACGTTGTCCTCCTGCTTCCGATATTGCAGGCAGGTCTCCTTTTTGCCACTTAAGACCAAGCGCAAGAAAATTTTGTTATCGAGCCCGGTTGCCTCCTTCAACACCAACAGAGATCGTGCCGCGAGTTGTGAACTTGACAATGGTGGTGGCTTGACAAAGTACTCAGATTTCGTTGTTGTCGGAAGCGGAATCGCCGGGCTCAGATATGCTTTAGCAGTTGCAGAGCAGGGAACTGTAAATGTTGTGACAAAGTCTGAACCACATGAGAGCAACACTCAATACGCACAGGGAGGAGTTAGCGCTGTACTCGATCCTCTAGATTCGGTTGAGAGTCATATCCGAGACACTATTGTCGCAGGCGCGTTCTTGTGCGATGAAGAGACCGTGGAGGTACAGTTGATCTTCTCTCACATTCAATACTGTGTTATGCTTTACTCTGCCAACCACCGGATTCAGAAAGGAACTCCTGCACCTTCAATTCACTTTAAGCTCGTAGATCTCAACAATTTCATGTGTTTCAATTTGAGAATATTTTACTTTCTTACTTTTCACAGCCTTAGAACTGAATGTTTGAACTCATAGAGGGAGAGCAAGTGGCTTAAGGGAATTGCTCTTAGCTACAAATTGCTGTCGGAGTGTAGAGTGAGGAGAAGTTTTTGGAAATTGACCGTCTTCATCAACTTTCAAGTAATTTTGCGTAGTAAACACTTTGCATGGCACATGGTACATGGTCTCCAGGCTGTGCTAGGCAGATCACAATAACTGCAAATTTATTTCGTAATCTGTCTGATGTCTAAAGTGACATAAGTATGATTCTTATACATATGAGCATATTCATCTTGGTGGGGTTTCTGCGATTACTTGTGCGGAAAATATTCTTAAGCTTGAATTATGTATCTTGAACTTGCCTGTATCGGATCCCAATCTGAGAAATGTTTCTGTGCAAATAGTTCTTGATATTTGGATGTGCGTAATTTTCAGGTTGTCTGTCGCGAAGGGCCAGAAAGAGTTAGAGAGCTGATGGCGATGGGTGTTTCATTTGATCATAGTGAAGATGGCCAATTGCATCTTGCTAGGGAAGGTGGCCACTCGCATCACCGCATAGTACATGCAGCTGACATGACAGGAAGGGAGATTGAGCGAGCACTACTAGCAGCTGTTCGTAGACATCCTAATATCAATATTTTTGAGCATCATGTTGCTGTTGACCTCCTTACTATTCAGGTACCTTTCTTCTTTTGTACTACAGCATGGTGTGAATTTTAATGTACACCGATCACAAATCTAGTCCTTCACGTTTGGATCTTTAGAGGCATGATTCAAGGGACAGCTTGCACTGGCCCTTATATTAGAACATTAGAACATGATATGATTGTGAAAGAGAACGGAAGATTCGAATGCATTATCTACACACAAGAAGTGGTGGACATTAGAAGTGGTAGACGTTTTTTCAAAAGGAGGAAGGCTGGACCAGATTATGTTCTTACTTGTGTACACGGTGTATGTGGCAGGACGATACAACGGTTACTTGCTACGGTATTGATACTTTGGATGTCAGATGCAATCAGGTATTTTTTTAAGTGCAAATTAGTCAAACATGCACTTCGATTGTTTCTATTTCTTCATCTTTAAAAGAATTTAGTCCATAACTTTATCTTTTGATAGTGTTGAGGCTGTGGAATGACCAGTTTAATTTTTAGCTGCGTGAGTTTCATATGAAACTTGGTTCAGTAATAATTTCTTCGCTGGAAACGCAGGTTGTACGATTTTTGGGAGGAGTTACTATGTTAGCTTCAGGAGGATCTGGACATATATATCCAAGCACTACCAATCCTCTGGTGAGGAATCAAAAGTTCTTTCAATTCGAATAAATCTTCACCTGAATATCTTGCGGTTTCAAGGAATAATTTCTGCATTTGTTAGATTACATGTCCATGTTTGATTACATTTTTTACAGTTGTGTTCTCCAAAGAAAATATAATTTTTGGAGTACACAAGACAGTTGATCTAAGCAGTGCTAGGAAAGCTATATTGTTAGCATTAAAGCTTACCGGACTTGTGCGGAACAGGTGTCAACTGGAGATGGAGTTGCATTGGCACATCGCGCGCATGCAGTCGTGTCTAATATGGAGTAAGTTTACTCCCTCGACATGAAAGAAAGTTCAGTCTGTATGCATTTTTTTGTGTATAAAAAAGTTAGACGTAATGAGTATCTAAACATGATTGTCTGCTCAACTTTGCAGATTCGTACAATTTCATCCCACTGCTCTGGCAGATGAAGGTCTCAAAATTCAACCACCTGGACGAGAAAACGCTTTTCTCATCACAGAAGCTGTGAGAGGAGACGGGGGTCGTCTTTACAATCAGGATATGGAGAGATTCATGTCTCAGTATGATGAACGTGAGGAGTTGGCACCTCGTGATGTAGTGGCCCGTAGTATCGATGATCAGCTGAAAAAACGAAATGAAAAATATGTCTACTTGGATATTAGTCACAAGCCAGCGCATGAGATACTACATCACTTTCCGAATATTGCCGCAGAGTGCATGAAGTATGGTTTAGACATCACCAAAGAGCCCATTCCGGTGGTACCTGCAGCGCATTACATGTGTGGTGGAGTCCAAACAGGATTAAAGGGCGAGACTTCCATTATGGGTCTGTATGCTGCAGGTGAAGTCACATGCACGGGTCTCCATGGCGCGAACAGACTGGCGAGTAACTCTTTGCTGGAGGCATTGGTCTTTGCCCAAAGAGCAGTGGAACCATCCATCGGCTTTGTTCGCTACATGGCCGGCATGCAGTTCAATATTGATGAGGCGAGCGAGTGGCCAAGATTAGTTGCTGCTAACTTGGAACAATCGCAGTCAGAGGCCATCATAAGCTTCACCAAAGCTCAAAGGAAGAGATTACAGCAGATAATGTGGGAATATGTTGGTATAGTCCGATCAACGGAACGTTTGGAGATTGCTCAAGCAGCGTTAAGTGGGCTTCAAAAGGAGTGGGAAGAGTTCTTATTCAACCATGGTTGGAATCGTAGCATGGTCGGGTTGGAAGTTTGTGAGATGCGGAACTTGATTACAGTGGCTAATCTAGTCGTCAGCAGTGCTCTCGTCAGGCAGGAGAGTCGTGGCTTGCATTATACCGTAGATTTCCCTGAGCTTGTGGAAAGTGAGAGATTACCCACCATACTTTTCCCCAGCACCCCTATGGCTTCCACATGGAGCACACAGCAGGTGCATACTGTCTACAAGGAACCTTTCTCTCTGTTCACGAAGTCGGAATCTCCTTTGGTGTCTGAGTTGGAAAGGTAGCAGGAAGAATCTGATGCTGAGACTTTTTTAGACAGGTCTGTAAAAAGATGATTTAAGTAGGGATCACTAGGCCAATTTCAACAGAGTAGGGTAGGTTAGATTAGTGTAGATTAGTGTAGAAAATTACGTAAGTTTCTCAATTGATATTCCTCATACTAGCCTCTTGCCGAAGGTTAGATGAATATTTTTGGTGATCGTCTTTAACATCCACTGACTATTAGAGGAGAACCACTATCCTTCTACTTTGCTGAGATATTACACGAAGTTGTAAACTTAGAAACTCAACAAATGAGGATCATTGCTGATGGCTATTTGAATATGGCTTTAACAGTAACTACTTCCAGCTTCTCATTTTTCACATTATCACGAGTGGACATAATCAATTTGAGCTGTTAGTAGCTTGTTCACGTCTTCATCATACGAACATTGCCCCTCTCATGATTCTCTTCCTTTATCTACCTACATTTGTCTATTTTTGGCTTTACTTCTCGACGAAGTGGATGTTTCTATGTTTTTGCCAATGTGCCTTTGGCCTTTACTTCAGTTATGGGTGAAAATTTTTGTTTCTTAAAAGATAGTGACCATATACGCATTGTGTATAAAATAGAAAATTTGTGTAGCAAGACTGATACTCAAGTTTTTGCAATTATTGTCGTAAATCGATATCAGTGAAATGCACGCACTTATTGAAAACAAGTATTTATATGACAGACATCAAAGACGAAATTAGTTCAGTTAACATGATATCTTGTTTTAGATCGTACAAACGAAGGTACCAAAAACTCAATTCTTGCCACTGAACCGATCCCAAACCCAGTCCTACTCACTATCGATTTAGCGGGGAGGCATATTATGGAATACTTCGTGTACACACAAAAAGCCGGAGGGAAAATGGAAAATTGAGATTACGTAGGGCGGTACAGTAACAGTAATGACAGTTAAAACAATGACTGGAATAGGTGAAAAATGTTGACAGCAATGTCGCATCTCTCTAATCAACGGTGCGAGGGACATCGTGCCAGGCGATATTGACAAGCATGATGACATCCCTCCACAGTTGGAATTCGGGAGAAACGTTGTGGCATTAAGTGCTCACAACTGTTGTCTGTATGATATGGCCCTATATGCTCGTTCTTCGTATATACATTATCTTCGCGAGGATATTCTACAGGACAGATGATTTGCAACTGAACAACTGATAGGAGAAAATGATATTTGGATTGGTCGATGGCTGATCTACACTCAGTGAACAGGCGACGTGTACATGGAAGCGACGCACAGATTCGTGAATACTGGACACGGGTACGAAAGATGTACATCAAAGGTGCGTTGCGCAGTGAACCAGTTTGTGGAGACATGTGGAAGAAAATATGGTGTGAGATCAACGTCGCATAAACGCTGAATCAAAATTTAGTGCTTTCATTAATTTTCAAATTTTACTATGAAAGTCTTGAGAACATCTCATGCGAGATCGCTCACGACTACTCAGAACCGTTCGTAAGTAAGGGCGATGATCTGAACCGGAGCTTGGAAACTTTGGACCTCCAGTTGGCAAGCGGACATTCTACGTCCTTCGGTTTCTTTGTCTGACGTTTGGCACAATGAGGGCACTTCTTCCCATGCGTCACGAACAGACAGTGAAGATCAAACTTCAAATGATCGGGGATTCGCTCGTTCAAGTGAAGATAAGTTTTCTCTCTGTCTGCAGATGCAGGAACCCAACCCAGCGCCTTGGAGATGCGGAACACCTGCAGTACGAAGACGCAGACACTCTGCAGTTAGGAATTGCAACCAAGCGTGCAAGCATTGGAACTAGATATCTCCTCCGTGAAGAGGTCCAACTTCGTGCAGCTCAAACACCTAAACCATCCCACAACTGATGCTTTCAGATGTTCTCGTGAAGGACAAACCACAGGACGTGTCTTACATGGGTGTCCACAGGAAACTCATTTCGCTGCAGATGGAACATGAGGACGCAAGCAACCTGCACAAAAACAACGACTCTGGAATTTCAGGCCTTTGCATGAAAAAGCTCGAGAGGCCACCATCTGGTGGACGAGTTAACCGTCCTGTGATTCTATGTCCTTCGACTTGAGGGGTTTTCCAGGTCCCGACGGCTTTACAGGGTCACGTCATCATTTCTACGCAATCAAGGGTTGGTTGGGTTCTCACTCAGAAAGCACCCTTGGCTTGGATAAATACCGTACTGTACAAAAAGAGAACGGACTCGCATTTCTTCTTCATGTATTACGCACCGTCTTCGGGCCAACACCCTTGAATCGGGACAGCTCGTTCTTGATTTCTTCGTTTGACATCGTTCGCAGGTATTCCATGCACAGTTTTCCACGTTCCTCGAACAAGGTCTTTAAAATATTCAGTATACGTCCTGCTTTGATTTCGGCCAAGCCGCCACAGCGTATGCTCTCCTGAACATCTTTCGGATCTGCCTCGAGAACCTGGTACACGCCACACGGCAACTTCATGATCTTCGGAAGCTTCGCCCATTTCAAAGTGCCGTTGTCTCGATGGGCTTACACTACGTCCTGTCCACATTTCATAGAGTTCTCTCGTACACCTAGAACAGCTCGCTCGTTCGTTCATTGAGAAACTTCAAATGGCTTTGTCAGGAAGGGGCCTTACTTCGTGCCAACTTGGAAACTTTCTTTTCAAGCTGGCAAACGCCTTCCGAGAATTGTTGTCCGTCGTGTTCTGTGACAAAAGCGTGCCCACCAGAGAGTCTATGACGGTCCGTCGTTCCCTCGGATGCCCGGTCGGAACCACCACAGCTTCTTCTGGAGTTCGTTCGACCGCCACGAGGTCTGCTGCGTTCGGAGCCGGGGCTTCTGCCGCACCGACGGAAGGACGGCTATCACTTCCAGCAGCTTCTTGTATCTGATGGGCAGGATGTAGAAATATCAGCACAACAGGTCGACTTCCTCGACTGTCAATCTAAAACGACTATGCATTCTCTGCACCCGGAGACTGTACTGGACAGCTTCTCAGCTTAATCCAGAAGAAGGCTGACGATACGCGGCAATTTGGTGTTCAGAGAGTTGCTTTCACTATGTTTCATCTCCTTCTTCGAGATCTAAAACCTCAAAATGCGTCACCCATTCTACGCCATTGAGGCAATAAACGCTACAGATCATTGCAACAGAAAGTAGACACGAAGATCTGGAGTTCTTTTCACAATTCTCCTACTTGACTGACTCCTGGCATAGATAGAGGATTCAGGCAAAGGCGATGGCTAGTCTTACTTGTAAACAGGACGTTTCTATGGTCGGACACGATATTCTATGCCTTTCATACTCGGGCAGCTCACCGTGGAGGTTGGCCAGTAAGTCTCTCACTGCTTCACATTCTTCAGGATGAGGACTCGTGTGAGAAGGGTACGGGCCTCTGTAAGGAAGCGACAAATTCAGCGACACAAGAGATGCTTCTGCATTGTACGGAGAAAAAAGTTAAGCTCTAGATCTGGAATTCCAACGACTAGAAACAGGACAACAAACATGCTGAGAGAAATTGCTGTCAGGTTCTGGGCTGCCAAATGCATCTATGCGCAAATCCAGTTGCACATTCTGCGCAATTCTCACCGCTGGCAGGAGTGACATTTGTGGCATCCACGAGAACAAGAGCAGTGGCCACATCAGTTACTGAAGCGTCCAAATCCACGGCTTTCTTGCTTTTCTTCGAGTTCGATTCAGAGCATCCTCTTTCTGTAACCTGATCTAGCTTCCTCCTGCGCAATTTCTCTCTGCCTGTAAACTCATTTTTGACGAGATGAGCCAGTTCCTCTGCTTCCGATTTACGTTCTACCTTCACTGATGTCTTCCTTCTCGATGGACGAGTCTCGCTTTCCTGGACCACCTGCGCCTCCTGCTTCACTGAAAATTCTGCTGGTTCCGTCTTGACTCTATTCCTAAAACTCCTCGTTTGCGGACGCGTCTCGACATGAGGAGACTGTCCTTCAGGCTCCCGCTTCACAAATAAAATTACAGGTTCTGGCTTCACTTTATTACCTCGTGGCTTCCGCGGCTGCAGAAGTGCACTCGTCGACTCCAGCTGGAGATCAGATTTCATTCCTGATTCACGTTTAACCTCTGCCTGCAAAGCTCGTGATTTCACCATTTTCTCCACTGGATGGAATCTGTGCACGAGTCGAACTTTGCGAACCCTTATGGTCGGCCTGAAGCAGCAAGGCACAAAAACATCCTCGTTCGAACTCTTCTGCTCGACGCCGAGCGGTCCAGAGTGTATGAGGTTGGCAACCTGGCCTCGGGCGTGAAAACTTCTCGGTTGCAGAATCCTCCCGACTCTCCCGATTACGCTGGGTGTCAAAAGCAGAGCTAACATCTGCGGCGGCGGATGCGCGATTTCCGAGAATGCTGGCGAGCAGACAAGAACCTCGAGGATCGACAACCTCAACGCTTGACTCCCACTTCAGAGTCGTCTCTCGAGGAGCCAGTCGGATGTCAGAAGGTGCAAGAGTAGAGAGTAAAGACAGAATTGACCAGCCGGCGTTCGAAAAGCTGAAACCCGATTCTCTTCCTCGGGATCTCGTGACCTTCCCAGAATGGACCTCCACTAGGGCTCCACTTTCTGAGCTCTGCAGCCATTCGCTCCACGAGTCGGAGAATTAAACCCGAGCTCCAAATGCCAGCCCCGTTTCCCTCGTAAAATGTTGTTCGCAGTTTTCACATTGAACGCCTGGAACGAAAGGTTGCAGGGAACGCCTGAGGTTCCCGATATGGACGAAGCATTCGTTCGGTCGCAGGCGAATTGAAGAACTGAAAATGCGACTACGTATCACGGCGGACACGGGAAGAAGTTAGATCACTTCTACATGAACTCCACAACTGGAAGGAATGTTGCTCGGGCACTCCGAACCGTCGAAGCTGCGAATGCAATGATCCGTTCGGTGAAGCGGCGCAAATTTCACCGAGAAATTGAAAACATCGGCGACGAGCGTGTGTGCAGGGGATGGGAGGGGATGGCAAAATATTGCGATGACGACGACCCAAATGGACGAAAGACGGGAACCGAGCCTGAGAAATTGTGATTATGAGAAGAATGTGGGCTACAAATTCACATTCTTCCTTCCGGTCCATGCACCGCCGCTCTGGTGTAAGACTCGGATTCCCATCGAGCAGCCGCACGAGCTCGAAATCAGCAGAACCGCAATTCTGCAGCTTCTGCTGCTGCTGGTGGCAGGTCACACTCCACGGTCACCAACGGGAGGCGAGTTCGAACCCTCTCCCCGTGCTGTCACGCGCAGCGACACACGCACGGATGACGTGGCCGGGTCCAAGTTACCACCCTCGGCTCCCTTCCGAGCTGAGTCGAAGCTGGAGCTTATGTCGCATGTTCTGGACAGTGACGTGGCGTGAATCCCAGCGGCGACGTGGCGCTTCGGCGACTGCACTGCTCTGAGAGTTCTTTCTCAGCGAGAATGTCGCCGACACAGCACGTTGACCAGTTGGCAATGCCAACGACCGCCTGGTCCCTTAGAATCCACGTCACCTCATGCGCCGTTTTTCCTCTCTGTTATTAAAGGCCCACAATTAGGTGCACAAATCTAGTTTCCTGCTACCGCGCTCTTGTTTAGAGCAATTAAGCAATTTAGAGCAATTGTCATCTATTAACGAGAAAATTACTTGATGGACATTACAGTACTTAACACAAATAGGTTAATTTATTGGACACAACAAACCGTCGTGTGTGCCGTCGTCGGGTCTCATTCTGTGAAATGAGATCTGACGACGGCACATATTCTGATATGGACGATTTCTAACATAGAGTGTGGGCAGCAGGCTGGGGGAGGCCGGGTCATTCCAACAATTTTTTTGGAGTGCGAAGAAAGGTTACGATAGATGTTGAATTCTGATACTTTCTTAGCACATGTGAGTGTCACTGCGACATTGTGACAGAATGTAAATAGCCTGCAAATGATATTCAATTAACTCTATTGCCTTCCACTCATAGATGTCGAACATTACCCAGAGGCCAAAAGTAAATAATCAAGTTGAGGAATCTGATCATGAGACAGCATCTAATGGATCGTGACATTAGAACGATGACGAGAACACTTACACGATGCGTTTTGTTGTTCGTGCAGCTGAACCCGGATTTCACACCGTTCAAAGCGCTTGTTTCAGGATTTGGAGCTACCTCTCGTCATTTATCTTCGAGCAGTCCGGCAGTTGTGTACTGCTTGTCTCGCCTTGCGGAAAGTACTGGAGAGTTGTATTATAAGGACAAGCATTTGAAGACCCAAGATTTTGCATCTCCGACCAAATCTGGAGTAAACGGAACCCGCCAACTATAGACCCATAGGGTCAGTCATTCGCATTATATAGCTACAAAAGCATTTTTTAAGAATTCGGTGAAGTCGTGATAACCAATAAATTGGTTGTGTTACGCAAGGTAATTTTTTCTATTAATTTCAGATTTGGAAACGTGACAACCATATACTGTATGATTATAAATGAAGATGTTTCACGTTTTTGTAAGATTGAATTATATATTTGCATGGCCCCATAGTCTAGTGGTAACGACATTGGACTTTGAATCCAAGAGCCTGAGTTCGAATCTTGGTGGGGCTCTCAGTCCTGGGTAAATTTTACGCGGAACTTACCAATATGATAAACTTCATCATCGCTCATGATTGAGTATTCATATCTCAGCCTTGGCTCTGATGTAGTTTGGATCTCATCAGCAGATAAACCTAGTTTTGCATGATTTGAGTCCATGCATACTTTCGATTGTTCACATATCATATCCCTCTATATATGATCAGGATTGCAATTATAAATTTTTGATTATATCCTGCTCTTTCAATGACAAATATGAAAATAAAGTGTCATCATGTTTTCTTGCTCCTTTAAATATTATTAACTGCATGTTGTTAAATATTATTACCTCTATCTGATGTAGGATGTAAACATTAATATGATAGAAAGAAGTTTGATTGAAAAGTTTATTCTCAACTCACAGTAAATTTACTTTCTCAAGATATTACAAACAAAGATCAATTGTTTGATGAAAAAGTAGGATACCTTTGCAAAAAATGGGTGTATTGTTACATATATGCTGTGATAGTCTAGGTTTATCAATAACAACGTCAAACCTTTTGTAAAATTGAGCTCGCATGTATGCATTAGATCGAGACATATTTTGGATTAATATGTATCATCTTGAGAAAGATTTTCATCATTCACAAAGAGGCATAAGACTGGAAGAATTTGAGATATAAATTATTAGTTGATACTACGTTGCAAAAAAGGTTAATTTATTTCAGTTCTGAAGTGTGATTTTAAATCAATAACAAACCAGAAATCCATTCTACTTAGAGAGGATGACATCATACCCACGCGAACCCACATATTGTTGTTACTGGACACAAAACTGATCCAAAATCTGCTAGCGTGATGTGGGTGTAAATCACCATCATTTACTGTTGACAATTTGTTAAATTGAATGAAGACTATTGACGATCTATAGGTCCAAATTGTATCTACGTTAACTCAAGATTCTACAGACTCAATATAGAAACGCGAGCGTGTTGAGTTACTCTTACATCGCACGCATCATCACAATATGGAATATATTACATATGTTACAGAGAGATAATGGTCATTGTATGTGAGTTTCGCACGTTATCCTGCACAGGAACGAGGACTATACATGTTATCACCTTCTAACAAGATGAATCAATTAACAACCAAAAATCAGACCAATCTTGCAAGAAACGTATGTCCTCTTCCCTCATGCTCATTATCGAGCTTAGCCCCATATATTGTCCTTCATCTTCAGCCTTTGCTGTGCCTTTAGAATCCCTTTGGCTATCCGCTTAACACGCTCGTTGTTATAGTCTGGTAAATCTGCAGTCATACAAGCCTAGGACTTATGTGGAACTATGGACTGGTTTTGGTCTTCTCCTTAAAGAGCGAGTTGATCCCTTAGTCTTTGTTATGATCACTACTTTGTTTACACTTTGGTGTATACAGTGTTGCTTACTATTTAGTGCTTCGCCCTTACGAACTAGAGAGGGAATACAAAGTACACAACGAATTGCTCAGTAGAGACCTTTCACTTGGTTTTGTTGGCTGAACTAACCTAAGTTTTACTTAATTGGTCATAAACGATATTTCTGACCAAATGAAAAGGTTAGCAATTCCAGAACTGTTTCATTACAAGATTTTTCTTTGGTGACTTCAGTTGTACTGATAGGTTTGAACCAAATTGTGGCACCAGACGATCAAACTTACGGAAGTTTCAAAAATTACCACGCCATTTTATAAGGGATGCCTCAATCTCGCAATTCTCGTTACAGATCGGAACACTGTCGTTCCGATCTGTAACGAGAACACCTTACGATCTGTAACGGAATGAACACCTTCGTTTATTACGGTGTGTTCATTCCGGTGACCCTGTAGACGCATAACTCCTTGAAACGTCCATCATGAAAAGAGCTGAAGAGAAAATGTTCGTCAGCTCAAAAGAAACTCTCCTACTCGTTCTTAAAAGTGCTGGGAGTCATAAAAATATGGCAGTTTGACAGTAAATCTCAGCCGTCTATCTAGAATGACAGAATCTGGATGGAGTAACCAAAGATGCTTCAATTACATATCTTCTGGGGAAATTTCGTCGCAACGGATTGACAAATTATCTCCCAGAACATAGGAAACCCAGATGTGATACATGATGATATCCTTGGAACAACTATGGTTTTCTATCCTTCAAAACAGGTTGAAACCTGGAGAACCGCACTAGCGAATCCAGTTGAAACAAATCACCTTCCTAGGACATCCTACAACGATCTTTATCCTGCGACGCTTGCAAAGTATGAATGACTCCCAACATGATTACTGCTGAGTGTATCCTACCATACCCTAGCATACCCTACCCTACCCTACCTTGCTTAATCCTAAAAATAAATGGTCCCCGCAGTACTGATTTCCTCAAAGTGCTCCTATACCAAACACACAAATGTAGTGTGTCAATTCATGAACCTCATCTTCTAACCATCATTCGACCAGGTCGTACACATATGCACCTATACGTGTATACTCATATGATCTCAGGTGGACTATCAGAATATGCGCATATACTTACTTCCTAAAAATTTAATAATACATCCCCGTCTTACATCTTAAGTAAGAAAAACCAACAGAGCAAGACGGATCTTTCGCAACTATGAAGTACCACAAAAAAACTCACCATGTGCACGTTTTGGACAGGTCACTCCAGGAGAGTAAGCAGAACGAAAGACTGTCAAAATTTGTTAACCCTGAAGATCACTTCTTCCTCTCTTGCCTCCATTTAAACACAGGCTCAGAAACACCCTCTTGTCCACCGTCTAGCTTCCGTTTTCTACCCTTTCCCTGTAAAACAAGTACATTGCACTTTAATCAATTCGAGGGATTCTGAGATAATATGTAAAAGCGAAACACCATTCTTCCTTGGAAAGCTCCGTCTTCCATTCAAGCTAATTTCAAAAAAATTTCAGGATAAGCATTTTATTTTCTGTTCAGGGTCCAACATAAACCTCCAATCTTGCAGTTTTCATAGCAATTTAGTATCCAGCTTTGAAACTTCCAATTGAGATAAGTCCTGGAGATCATTAAGAGCGTACCATGATCTGCTTTTGCATAGTCATCGTGAGAGTCAAACTTTTCAACTTCTCTGCTCTTTCCTTGCGTTCTTCCAATTCCCGATAAGCCGATTCTTGCTTTCTATCAAGAACGAAAAGCACAGAAATTTTCACATTCAGTAACTAGAGAGATAGTCGTCAGATAGTTGTCGCTTCCCCAGCTTTTTCAAGCTCCTTCAAGTTCAAAATGTGATATCTTATGGCAGCTAATCAAGATTTCATCTGAGCGAAAAGCATCAGATTTCTATACAAGATTCAATCGTTCCGCTCTCTAATAAGCAGGCCAATCATTCAATACCTGTAGATTTTCATTACTCACTTTCTTATGCGCTTCGGTGGAAGCTTAGTGCGCTTCTCTACTGCGCCAGGAGCTAGTTCCACAGCTTCAGCACTGCATACGTCCCATGGGTTAGTTCACCAGATGCAGCTAGATGTTGGAGCAAAGTCAAGGTTGACATCGATATACAAGGACTATAATCCCACTTCAAAGCACGTGAACGGTGTCTAAGCAATAGAAATAGAACTAACCTGTCTTCCGCGAAATAGACATGGGTATTAGAAGCAGGTTGCGCAGTTTGATGAAGGACGGATTGAAGCCGCTCCACCTTCTGCTCAACGATGGCAAGGTCCACGTGGATGTTGAATTGTGTACAACACGACATCGTGGCGAAAGAACTGACTAGAACTTGCTGAATTTGTTGAAAACTGATATCCATGGACAGAGCATTATACATAAAGCCAAATTGTTCAGGCACGTCTTAACATACAAAACAAAAGAAGTCCGTCATTTCTTTTTGCACCGATTAAACAAACCTTGCTCTCTGCCTGAGCTTTGTTTAAGACATATCTGAAATCTTGTGTTTTCATCAACATGATCTCCTCCTGCGTATACTCCTTCCCACCTTTTCTGAAACGATCGAGTTCACATAAGATACAAGCTTCAGAAGATGAGCAAGTTACAACGTGCAGCCATAATGAAAAAATAAAATAAGAGATTACGGAATTAAATAATGAGAACCCACTTGTCCCGGTGTACACCATTCACAGTTTGTGAGTTGATCATTTTATAGTAAAATTCATCTGGATTTCTGAAGGAGGCCTTCTCCTTCAAAATCTGCATATTCAAAGAAAAACCGGATGTTCAGAGAAACAAGAAAGAAATTCATCCCGTGATTAGGACTGATTCAAGAAATGGACAGCTTACTGACCTTTATTTCTGTCTCTTTCTTGTGGAAGTCTTTGGCACGAAGCACGTAGTCCTTGTGCTTCTCGAGTAATCCATATTTCGATCTCGTAGACCTGTGAGGGGTATGACATGTTATAAGCGTTGGCAGCAGAAAGATATTAAATACTCACAATCAATAACGAGCATTTAGTGTACCAGAAGTGGGTAGGATACGTACGGCTGAGAACGCTCCTTGTGAGTCTTCCGCTTGACAGCATTACGAAGGGACGACATGCTTGCAGATTAGGTCTCAATTATATTTCGTGCACTTCCCCTGTCTCTTCGGTCTGCTCTAGGTGCTTAAGAATACTTGCGATCTCGTGGCGTCTGCTTTCCTCTCCTCACCTCGCCCGCCTGGCCCCGCCCCGTCTTGCCTGGCTGGCTGGCAAGTGCAAAATCGAATTTTGATAAAGAAATGGTCTTTTCCGTTAGAACGAAAAACTACTCCATATCAATACCCTGCGTAGTACGATTCCCTAAGAGAACGCTAGGCCCCATCCCCTGATCCATCCCGATTCCATCAACAAGAGACGAAGAGGCAGAGAAATGACAGCTGACTACAGACTTGAAATTCAATCAAGAAAAAAAAAAATCAAAATCCCGCACCCCCGGTGGCAAGAAAACCTCGTCAAGATCCAGCTCGCAAAACAACAAACAAATCCTCGAAATTATAAAGCTCGAGCTCGCCCACCTGACTGTTGAATTCAAGCCCTGGCTGGCAACTCGCGCAGCGGCCTACAACGAGGTCTCCAATTTCTGTTCTGAAAAGAGAAACCAGGGTCTCAAGTGACGAAAACGAACTGCTCCGACGAAAGTAAACACGCTGCCGGAATCATCGATCCTCACCAGCGTCTAACATGACCACACCAGTTGGTGTAAATGTGATCACCTCCACATACTACTCTCAATTCTCAGTACAGTCTCGTCGCATTCCCTAACCAGCACCGTGTCACTAAAGTCTCCAGGCTCGAAGCTCGGAAACTCGGAACAATGTCCACACACAGGGTTTAAGGTTTTGCCGTACCAACGGAAGAGAGGCAGATAAAGGGCAGACGCTTGGAAATACACTGAAGACGGTAGAGCACCGATTTCGGCCGACACTTGCTCTTTTCGCCTGCCCTCTTTTCGTTGTGCAAGGATGTTCTGGGTTATCACGAACATGGCCCCCAACGAAACATCGAGCTCCCGAGTTAACTTAATTTTCTGTCCACTGAAGTTTAGGCGTGAATGACTCATATGCTCGGCAGCGTTTTCCTTGTTCATCTGAGTAATAAGGTGCGCAGTGATGTGCAGCTTCTTGTGTTCTCCACGCACAAACTTGACATGTTGGTGTTTGGTGCCAAGATATTTCAACAAGCTTTTGATTTATTCACATCGCATAGTCTTGAACGTACGTTAAGAGAATAAGAAACATGAATTTTTTCATGGGTGAGAAAGTCTTCAGAATTTTATTTTATTTTATTTTAAAACAAATATAATGGAAACAAGAAATCCTTGGATTTTAATGCAGCACTCCAAAACTACATGATTTATATCTTGGTGATCACCATCACATAATGGAAGTGGCAAATATATCGTTTTTCACTTGAATTTAAGTGTTTCCTCCATATGCCATAGATTTTATTACACCATGCAGACATTGCATCTCAATTTAATTTAAAAGGATTAAAATCCTTTGCAAATATCCATGGTATAGATTGGAGTAGAAAATGACCATATTGCTTTTGATTTAATTTTCGAAGTAAAAGAAGATCGGAAATTTTCTTCAATTGCGTGTCATTATAGTTTTCAAATTTGTCAAACATGATATAATCAGAGCATGATAAAAAAATATGTTACATGAAAAATAAATTTAGCATTTAGGAAAAAGCAATTTTATGTGTAATTTGCTCTAAAATTTTGATTAACTACTTTTATATGGTTTGATTATATAGCTAAAACTATATATATATATATGGTAAAAATAATAATGATAGAGAAATAGATTATAAATTTTTACTCATAAATTCTTCTGCTAAGTTTGAATTTAATATTTTAGAAATGATGAAACTAGATCAATATATATATTTTCTTTTAAAAATATAATATATTTAAACATATTGATTGTATACACACATACTTGAATATAAAAATAAATATAGGTATTTTATGTATATATGTATGTTTATTCATTTATTTATTCTGCAATTGGTATACGATACATTTTTTATTTGAATTTCAGAAGAAATTTCTTTATCTAGATTGAGATTTCAAATATTATTGAAAAAAGACAAGATTCTGAAAAATATTTTTTTAAAGAAAATATTTTATTTTATTTTCAATATAAAGTACGTCATGTATGAACAGCATGAAAATATACTTTTGTTCTCTTTATAATTTTCATCTCCTGTCAAACATTTTTAAATCGTATTATTAAATACTCAATCTCCTTATTTTTGAATATATAAATGTACCGTACATACTCTTTATTACGAAGAATCTAAAAATCTTAACATACTTGATTTTCAAGCTTATTTTGAGGGCTAGAATTTACATGGATCTAATTGACATATTTTTCTTAAACAAAATCATATTATATCTTCATGTTAATATCATGACAACTCATATATAAGACTCAAGTTTGATCCTTTGGTAACACATGGACATACTTACATTGTCTCAACTCTAAAAAAACTGTGAGTTGATCTTCACGCCCAAGGCTTATCCTTGGCATTTCTTGCAGATCCTCCAAGTACAATCATCCAAGCTACCATCTCAATAATAGGCATTAATATTCTTCAATCGATATGTCATCATCCTATTATTGCTCCACTGCAGCTTAATTCATCATCACTCACTTAAAACGGATGCATAGAAATCATCTCTCTAATTATCAGAATATTGGAACTGACTGAAGAAATGGATATCTAGACTATGGACGTAGAATTCAGTGTGTGTTGTTAGAGCCTAATAACTAAGAATGAGCAGCGAAGGGTATCACTCTTGTCGATTTGATACGAAGCCAATTAAACTCGAGTGATTCAGTTATACACATATACAACTATGGGCACCATACGAGCTTCTCATATGCTGTAAAATTGGTGGCAGTCGTTACAACTGATTAGTTGTGATAACTGAGATGCAGTAGGACGCTTTATCATTGAAATGTGACATTGGTAGCGATCTTGGTGGCCACGGTGCTGGGCCCCCCTTCTCTCTTCTTCTACATCTGGACAATATGCGTTCAATGGGTGCACGATCACGTCCGAGACCGGAGACACACTTTCGTCGTCGACGATGTCGTCGGCTCCGCAACATGCGAGCATTCATTAGCGTTGCAGTGCGGTGCGTGCGTCAGCGGAGGGGGAGGGGAAGGGGAGTGAAGGGGAGGGGAGGGGAGGGGAGCTTTCGATACAGGAGCGGTTGAAAGGTTGAAAGGTTGAAAGGAAGGGCCCGTGAATTGGACGAAGGAAAGAAGGGGAGAACGGGAAGCGAAACACGAGGAGGTACAGGGCCTGGCAGAGGGTAGTTAAAGGTGTCATCTCCGTCGGTCGAGGTGGCATGTGTCTGTCTGAACGCTCTCCTCCCTCGAGCAGGACACATTTTAGTGGCGTGTACAAGAAAGACGAGAGGAGTTACACGTACATTAGCCTTTGCTTTCATCCATCCGGCTTTGCGCTTGCCAGCCAGCCAGGCCAGACGGGGCCTGCCGGGGCGGGAGGGAGAGACATAGAGACAGACAGAGGGAGGGAGGGAGGGAGAGAGGGAGAGGCCGGGCCAGGCCAGGAGAGGAGCAGAGAGGAGAGGAGGAGGAGGAGAAAGCAGACGCCACGAGATCGCAAGCATTCTTCACGGACCTAGGGCAGACCGAAGAGACAGGGGAAGGAGAATTCAGCCTCATCGTCTGCGCTGTCGGATCCCAACAGGTTGGGCAGTGGTGGTGATTTTTTCCTCGGGGTCTTGAGGGTTTGTCCTGCTCCTTGGAAGCGACAGCGATTTTTCCATGACGGAGAAATTCCGGCGCTGATTTTGAATTTGTTGAATGTTACTTTTTTGTTGGTGTGCTAGATTCGTGAGTTGTGCCATTTGCTACCGAGTTTCGGAGGGCTCAGAGTGGAATTCGAAGGATGTCGGTTCAGGAGTATCTGGAGAAGCACAAGCTCTCCCAAAAAATCGAAGATGCCGTCAACGCGGCAGTCAGAGCCAAGAGTTCGGATCCGGTTCTCTTCATTGTATGTGCTCTCCGTTTTCCTTATTTTTTTTCTACCATGACTGATCTTTCCTGGAGTGGCGGATGAAGTAACCCGGAGACAATGTGAAGGGGGTCTCATAACGATGTTGGGAAGTAAGATGATGCACAGAGCTAGTAAGTTAACCTTAATCTACTTTTTATATTCTAAATTTAAAAACTTGCCGAAGCTGAATACGTTGTGGCGTGGATCGTTCTGGCTTGAGCAGGACGGCCATTAAAATGTGAAAACGTCACTCACATTTTTTTCGTTGTAACTGACGACACTTTCTCATGATTTTTCTGTAGTCCAATCACATGAAGAAGACGTGCATCTCGACCATCCAAAAAATTAAGGCCCGCCAAATTATCGACAGCCGAGGCAATCCAACTGTTGAGGTTGATCTATATACCGGAAAGGGCATGTTTCGGTCAGCAGTTCCAAGCGGGGCTTCAACAGGAGTGTGAGTTGCTCTTCTGTAACATCTTCTCCGAAATATGAATTTTGTGCCGGTTCAACACGTCATCCGACTGCATGTTTTTGTTCTATTAATTGGCTTTGGAGGCGCGAAGAACATCTTCCTGCCATTTGCGCTCCTTCATGAAGCCTTCACGTCTCGTCTTGATCTCTTCAACCTCTGTGGACTTCGAACTTTTGAAGTTCACAGAGGTTGAAGAGAATCAAGAAGAACTGGGAGATTTTATTCTTCCGCAGTCTCTTATGCGGGTCAAACACTCTGATGTGTTGTTTCTTCAATTCTAATGGCAGTTTTTCACTATGGAGATTCTTCGCCTCTGCCTTCTATTCATAACATAATTTCATCGCATCTGATTATTCATATGGCCATGTGATTCGTTTCTGATCCATGATAGCCTTCGATTTATTCTTTTCGTCGTTGTGCTGCACAAACCCTCAATATGTCTCCCTGTCAATTAGTAGCCAAAGTTGAGGTGAAAATTCAACGATATTGCTACCCGGATAAGACAATACGTTCAAACGAGAGCTTTCGTAAGACCTATAATGTTGTTGGATTTTCAGGCATGAGGCAGTGGAGCTCAGGGATGGAGACAAAAGCAGATACTTGGGAAAGGGTGTCCTGAAGGCCGTTTCTAATATCAATGATAAAATTGGCCCAGCCCTTATTAACATGGATCCTACACAGCAAGCGCAGATCGATAAGATAATGATAGATATGGACAAGACGGATAACAAGGTATGAGTTGCTGCCTTTCTGTTGATTGTGACCAAATTGAAGTTATCATTCTGAAAAGTCATGCTAAATCTCGAACGTTGTTACTGTAGAGCTAAGTCCTTTCCAGCTTACTTGTTGCTCACCAAACACACTTCGTTTGTGAAACTTTTGTGTCATTTCTACGTCATGATATTAGATAAGCAATGTCCATTAATCGATATCCCATGAATATGCAGCAAATTGTTCAAAATCCTTTCACCTTTAGCCGTTCACATCTATCAACACGTAGCTGAGAAGGTTCATGGTTGTTGACTGATCAGTATGTAAGATGGCGTGATTCCACAAATTGCAGGGCAATTTGGGTGCAAACGCGATCCTTGCAGTATCTATGGCAGTCTGCAAGGCTGGGGCCGCTGAAAAGGATGTGAGTCTTTCTCTCATGAGCTGTTCATCCACTTTCCTTTTTATTTCATCGTAATTATGGGTTTTGTTATGGATATATAAATTTTTTTTATTTTAGTAAGTGAACCTATGCGGGGTTCAAGCTTCTATATATTTCCCTTTTAAAGAATAAAATGAAGGAGTGGACTAATGATCTGTAGTCTTGATCTCCATTCAGGTTCCTTTGTATCAGCACATAGCAGATCTGGGTGGCATCACAAGGCTTGTGCTTCCTGTTCCTGCATTCAACATCATAAACGGAGGAAGTCACGCCGGAAATAGGCTAGCCATGCAGGTACTTAGCTGAATGGGAAATCTTGGATCGTCCCACGTCTTTGCTTTCTCTTCCTCTTTTCCGAACATGTTTTAAGTTTGTTCCAGTTTTGCTTTACCAACGCTCGTCTACGATTGTGATTTTCGAATTCCAACTTCATATGCTTTCACTACAGTTGATTGATATATATCTAATGGATAAAGATCGTTACCGCCTTTTCGGTTTTACTTTTGAGTGAACCACAAAGAGTGTAGTAATTTTTTGTGCATCTCCTTCGGTGGCGACGAATAGTGGAAGTCCATCTTTTAGACGAAGATAGTATCATGGAAAGAGGGAAGCCGACTTGTTTTTCCTCTGATTTTTTTTAATTTGAGGCAGGAATTCATGATCCTTCCGACAGGAGCCCCAACTTTTGGAGAAGCATTACGATATGGTGCAGAAGTATACCATCACCTAAAGGTAAGATAAACGAAGGCTCGTGTACGAAGGGCCTGATTTCATCCTCCAGACGTGTGTGAGGCATCTAAGTTTGTCTTAGTGGACGATAATACTGTGTTACTGTAAGCAAGTTAATTTATCCGTTGTGAATTTTGCGTCTCGGTTATGACAGGAAATTCACGACAATCTGCTTATTACTTGTTTCTCGCACAGGCAGTTATTAAAGAGAAATACGGAATCGATGCTTGTAACGTCGGTGACGAGGGAGGTTTTGCTCCTAACATATCAAGGCAAGAAATTTTGCCTACTCTTCCCACTCAGACATAAGTCTCCTTATATTATAGTGATCAAACAGTCTTACAGTCTCAGAAGTTTTCGTGCGCCTAGGACATGGGGATGGTGCCTGTATTTATTCTGCGACTTAGTGTTGAAGTCCACTCATGCCACCATTTGATACCAGACTAAGCGTGGTGGCTCTCCTCACTCAAGGTTTTGAAGGACAAAGTCAATACTATTCCTGCGATTTACACTGTCATATTCTATCTGAATCATTAGAGATGGATCCAAAGAGAGGAAAGAGCATCCAAAGAGTGTCTTCTGATAGACAGCTTGATTGTTGAACACTTGCCTATTTTGTGTGAATACCTCTGACTGCAGCATAATGCTTTTGTACCTGATTAGCGAAATTTCTCTTATATTGGCAGCAACAAGGAAGGTCTAGACTTGGTGAAAGAAGCTATTGAACGGGCAGGCTTTACTGGAAAGATCAAAATTGGAATGGATGTTGCCGCAAGCGAGTTTTTGACAGGTAGTGCACCTTCAACCTCATTACGGAGGCTTGGTTCCTTGTCTCGTTAAATATAGTTTTCTCCTGGCTTAGATTTAAGTTTGAACGAGTAGCTTGAAGCGTGGACGTAAAGACTTTTAGCTGTAAATTACTGTAGTGTTGCTGATGTGTACATGGTAATGTACTGGACATCTTCAAAGTTAGTGTTCTCGGTAGTGAAACTTTAATTTTCTACCTAACATTTTCTGCATCTTTGCAGATGACAAGAAGTATGATCTGGACTTCAAAAGTGCGAATAACAATGGTTCTGAGAAAAAGTCAGGAGCAGAGATGATTGATCTGTATAAGTCATTTTGTACAGGTAAAATTTGCTTGTGTAACGATTCTACAGTAAAACGGCTAGGTTATTATTTTTGTAGAAAATTGGACGATACATCTCGTTAATGTGTTTATTGCTGACGTTTTGCATCTGAATAGAGTACCCGATTATTAGCATCGAGGATCCGTTCGACCAAGATGATTGGGAGAACACGAAGGCATTGACTTCTCTTGGTATTTGTCAGGTATTATTCTTCCAGTAACCTAACTGGCTTTCACGTTGGGCTTATTTAGAAGAGGACAGCGAAAGATCCCAGACTCATTCGCTTAGATCTCCTCTTTGACAGGTGGTCGGAGACGATTTGCTTGTGACCAATCCAAAGCGGGTGATGAAAGCAATTCAAGAGAAAACTTGCAACGCACTACTTTTGAAGGTGGATTTTGACTTGCCCTCAGTTTCTGCAATTCATCAGATCTGTGTATTGAGTTTTATATATCATAATAAGAGGGAGAGCACTTGATTTTCAAACTGCAATTTGATCAGTCTTCCTATTCTACAGGTGAACCAAATTGGTTCAGTAACTGAGGCCATTCAAGCAGTAAATATGTCCAAAGATGCAGGCTGGGGTGTCATGTGCTCTCACCGAAGTGGTGAGACGGAAGATTCTTTCATTGCTGACTTGGCAGTAGGGCTCGCTACCGGTCAAATCAAAACGGGTGCTCCCTGTAGAAGTGAACGTCTCGCGAAGTACAATCAGGTTCGTTTTAAAGTTCAACGTCTCACTTGAGATTCTCGATTGAAGATCACCGCTGACGCAAGTTTTTTGCCTAATTTGTTCGTCTTTGGACTTTGGACTTTTCATGTGTTTCCCTTCCTTTTCCACTTCATGGTATCGTCTAGTTTTACTGACAAAAATCTGTCCGCAGCTTCTTCGGATCGAGGAGGAACTTGGTGATAAGGCTATCTTTGCAGGAGAAAATTGGCGACCCAAGTTAGGTGCAGCACCTCCGGCAGGATCTGCTGCAGCTGCACCTGCTGCTGCGAAGTAGTTCCATACGTGTACTGGTAATGTGTTGATCTTAGCTCACAGGAGTTTTCATAGCTCGAGGGGAAGCAAAACCTGCCAATCTTTCCGTCCACATCACATGGTGACGTGAAATTCTACCCATTTTCCAGCTCAACCAATAGGTTAGAAGTGGACCAGATATGACCTCGTAGATGTGCAGGACATGCTGTGGAATCGAATAAGAAACAAGAGAACCCTTTGTATGTAAGAGTTGAATGTTCAGTGGGTTCTACATCCACGAGCTAGTTAGAAGCAAGCAGGCCATTGTGAGTTGCAGTCACATATACATAGCTGGCCTTCTCTGCCTTACTTTGTCTTGCCCAATACAAGGCAAGATTGTCGTGGTGCTCCTCTTTTCTTGTTACATAGGTGATGCTGTTATTTTTTTTCGCGGAAATCAATGCAATGATGTCATGCCGATATCTTGCTCTCCGGAAGAAGCCGCTGAGTGCTTACTCAACGTGTCTGTGGCACAGCGCGATGATAGAATTTTGATCAAGACATCCGTAATTAGGCTTAGTGCTTATCCGGTATTTCAGCCACCTATGTAGAGGACAATTAATAATGTTGTCGAAGTTGCTGTCTGTCCAATCGAGGAAATTTATGGAGTTAGTGCAGACTTAAAAGGAGTATATTGCAGAGTTACGTCTAGTTAGGGGTTAGTAGCCTTTTCTTCCTTTTAGTCACTTCATGGGGATGCCCTTCTTTCACCTTATTTCCCACGATGGGGGGTTTTCCCATCAACCGAAATTGTTACTCATTTTACTTGCACCTTCATGCTACAGCGTTCCTATTTGGGTTCTAACTGAGCTATAAGGTCTGGTTCAAGAACATTGGGGTCATAAGTGGAAGGTATGGCATGGCTTTGCACTATGTTGGATTCTACACAAATCTCTCTAAGCCTTCTGTGTTGAACAAAGTAAATTCGATTCTCTGCATTTTCAGCAGCTACATGTACCTCACGCGCAGACACCCACCCATATCTGTTTTAATAACCATGCTCGTTCCTCGTTTCTTTATATCTTGAAGCACCGTCAAGACATGAACACATTTCTCAACTTTTTCGCACTCATGTTAACACTTTTCTTAGTTGATCGCTGTAGCGTGAACTACTGGACATTGAACTATGTGTCTCAAGAGAAATCAAGACGTCGCGATGAAAGGTTGTGTTTCAGGATAACGAGACAGATTTCTTTGAAGCATGACGAACGTATTACTAACTTGCTCTGAAGACTTCAAAACATGGTTAATCTCATTAATGAAGGTGTCGCATTAAAACTGAGACAAATGAGACGCATTGTGATCGTTCGTAAGTGGAAGGTTTGATATTTCAAACTTTTCTTTAACTTGCCATTCGATCCGCCCAATATCCCCGGGTGTTAACCGTCAGCATCAAACCGTCCGTCTAAGACTAAGAAGCACACAAATTTCACAATCTTTGTGTATTAGTACACGTTTTCATCTGTATTATAGACCTACTAACTCCAGAAGTCGATTAGTCTTCTCCCACAAGTCACCAGGTGCCTAAATAGTGGCGGCATGGACTCTTTCGGAATGCACAAACAAGTTGCTTTGTGCCGGTTGCCAAAAAATTAGCAACACTTTTAAGCCATTGAATGTCTAGACGATGTAATCTTCGACAATACACAAACTATAGCTAGCCTGAAGAAGTTTAGCTCACAACAAAAGATTGTACCAGATCTACTTTCTGGTCCTGTGTTTTGGCGACCTACAAGCTTAATATTTGCATGTTCAAAACCCAACCCCACTTTCCTTTTGTATATCTATTTTGCTGAGATCCAGCGTTTGTTTCGCTACGCACCCGAGCTTTCTAAAAGCAATTTTCTGATGTGGATTTCAATCATGGCAAGTTGTCAGTCCTGACATATGCACGACTGTTTACTTCTTGATCACATCTTGGAGTTTGTACAGAATCGGGATAAAAACAAATATTAGAGCAATAAAATGTTTTTAATAGCCCATCAGGTCATACATAGATGAAACCAAAGATGGTAATTTTTTATAAGATACCATTACAATTTTTGATGTAGATATATATTATTGCAATGAAGATCACGAAACTATATACTAAAGATTTATATCCATTAGATAGCATATATATGCTTAGTGTAGAGTCAGGATACATCCTATTTACTGCAGTAAAACAAACTTCAACAGTGCTACTGTAGCACAGTACAATGTTTGAGTTCATCTAGCATGCTAGTTGACATGAGTAGCACTCATGTCAACTAGTATGCTAGATGAACTCAACATCCGTATTTTGACTGTTTAGGTTTTTCTCGTTGTATGGTAGCGTGTGTTTTATACATGACTTTCAAGGGATCCTAAAGTAATAAATTTTTTATTCAATGATCAATTTAAACACCAAGGAAAAGGAGAATTATGGTCTACATTATACAATACAAATATCGAGTAATATACAAAACACAATTTTGAAGGCTTTACTGAAATAAAGAGAACTATTATATCATTTGGCTTAATGATCAAATGCACCGCGAAGAGCTATCAAAGTCCATGAATCAGCTAGTTGACATCAGCAGTAATTAACTTATTGAACATCATATCAAGTTGTGGTGGCGTCTTCTAGTTCGTAGAAAAATTAATGAATCACCCCAATTTTTATTTTCAATTTGATGCAAGTCATGAGTACAGGGGTACTCGAGGATCTATAGCAAGCATCGCCAACCATAGTAACCTTTTTTTTTGTTTAATCATATGAGTGAAGAGAAACCATGGGTTTCGTGCCATAACTGCTATTTGCATTTTAGTCATTACTGGCGCTGTTGGAAAACAATGCACAGATTGGATTGCATACTTCGTTACCGAATGCCATGGAGAAATCACCTCATGTCAAGTGGTCATATTTGTTTGCAGATAATTGTTTGTAGCATTGCAAATTAAATTGGATTACGAAAACAAGAACCTAATAGGCCTTGCACAACGGTTATTCTTGCACCAACTATGAGGATGTGATGTTGAGAGCAGCAAGGTAATGTTCCATCTAGTTACCTCGTGGAGGTAAGAATCGATGGTGTAGATGAATCAGTGCTAACATCAACTCTAACCTTAGGGTTGAACTCGAAGACTATGTAATGTACATAATTGTATAACCAAGTGCTAACTCCAACATATATAATCTGCAGAAGTTCAGGTCATCTATGAGAGTATTGTGATTAGCATCTTTTTCGTCTCCTTTGATGGAATTTGTGACCATGTTGCTTTCCATCAAAGTTGAAGATGCATATAGTGTGTATGAATTGTGAATCCGAGTCCATATCTTTTCTATGGACTGATTTTACCACTGTACGGTAGTGACCGAAAATGAAAAGGTAAACAGAAAAAAATTCGTCTGAATGTTTTTATACAAGCGTAGACACTTGTTATGCCACCAGCGAAGCATGTGTTGAAGTATGGTTGTGCACCTAGTGCCTATAACTCTGCAGTCTCCATCGTCTTCATTAGCCAACCCTTTTAGAACTTTACTTCCATATGCAATTTATTCCGAGAGCCTTGTAGTAACATCGTTGCGTTCGATTCACCAACGTGTTTAAATAGTAATCAATGAGCAAACATTCCATGAATTTAGGATGATTGCTCATGTATCTTCCTCCTCCTTTGTCTTCACTATTCGTTAGTGAAAACATTTGCAAGTGGTGATGCATAAAAGTCTCAAGATGAAAGTAGTTTTAGCTTTTTTTTTCATTTCATTATATATCACAATTTATTCTTAGTTTAACCTCTTATTAGGTTGATAAAAAATTTCTAATCACAGTTCTTTTATATTCATTTCATGATTTAGTGATCAAACATGAAAAGAGTGGGCGATATGTAATAATTCGACTTCAAAGAATTTTTTTTTCAATGCTTATTTTTTATTGATTATTTGAGAAGATAATCAGAATTGGAGATGAACATAGATTGATTAGTTGAGGAATATTGTTGATTGATTCAAATGCAAGATATTGACAGCTTCAGAATGTGAAGATTCCTTAAAACAACAAATACTTCTTGATGTGGGAAAAGGTTTGATCGCTCGGCCTATTCAGAGACTGGAGTATTTTCTTTCTCCATAGCCCGAAATGGAATAGATTATTGTGGATTTCCATGGGGAGAGCACGTTAGAACTCTGGTCTAGTATTCCTGAACTGCGATCGATCTGTTACTTGGCCTCAGGAGCGCACTGCTCTCGTCCAGAAGGGCAACGAGGACCAACGAAGGGCAAGAAGGAGCGAGCGAGGAGTAAAATGGCGATGGATCTGGAGGTGTGGGTTTTGACGGAAGGGTTCGGGCTCGGCACCAATTAAGCGGCAGGTGCCTGCACGTGGAGATTGGTGTCTGGAGGCGAGGCAAGAACGAAGCAAGTGTATCCGCGGGCGTACACTCGAAGCGTGATTTCGGCGTCCAGCCACATCTGTGATGGCCGCTCGCGCAAAATTTCCGCCTCGAAGGGTTGAGTCATGAATCGCGAGAGTTGCTTTCGGGGCAATGACGGTTATTTCTGTGACCCTTAATTTGACGACATTCTGTCCTAGCTCGCGGAAGGCGATCTTGCAGTGTTGTGCGAGGTTGTTGTCAAAATTGACGCCGCTTTGTTTGGGCTGAGTCTCTGATTGCCGGCAGTTAGTAATTCACGAAGTTTCCGATTCTTTTTAAGCCGCTTTGTGCAGTGACCGGCTGTTGGTGATATAAGTGATGCGGAATTCAATTCTGTAAGAGGTTCTGATTTTTTCGTTCCCGCCTTTTGGGCTTTGTTCCGGCAATCGGGAAACGCTTTTGGGTTGGCTCCTTGCTTGGAAAGTGGGCATTTCCCGTGGTACGAACAGCGAACTGTGTGATCTGTAAGGTCCAGCTTTGTTCGAGGATTCAAAAAGTATATTGCAAGTTTGAGGGCCGCATGCGGTTGCATGATGGAACGAGATATGCAAATCTCCTCGAGCGGGCCGGAGAGTGGTATGGATAGGCTAGAGGCTGAACCACCAAGTGAAGGCGGACTACAAACTGCTGCAGGAGACCGGTTCATCTTCAAAGTTCCTTCAGAGCGCAAGTCTGTCCTTGGTACTCCTATCTCTCTATCTTGTCGAGCTAGTATCTTTCTTCTAGGATTCCTGTATCTGTCACCGAAGTTGGAGCTTTTTGTGCTTGGATAATTTTTAACTGAATTCGCAAGTTTCGCTCTGTGGAGTGCAGGACTTGATGCCCTAGCTCGGTCTAAACGAGCTGCTGAAGATGAAAAAAGCTGGGGCTCGTCCAAGCGGACCCATTTTAATTCTTTAGCTGCATCAGAGGGTAATGTAGAGAACTTGTACGAATCCCTTGATGATGGCGAAGAGTCTGTCAAAGGCTATCAGCACGGGAACAAGCGTAGTGAGCGGAAATACAGAGCTCCTGAAAGACCACATACTCCTCACTCAAGTAAGACAAAAAAACACCTTCTTGAATGTGTCATATTTCCCAAGCTATGTCGTGGCATGACTTTTCTTATGAACATCGTTCTTCCTCGTTATCTTTGCCGAATTGCTTGTTCATATTGCCTGCCTGTCTCAAAGTTGATCACATCTCTGACAGGTACTTTGACCGAGGAGTCTGACTTGGTGAACTCTCCGCGTGGGCAGAGTCGATATTCCTCCTCAGTGAGCTTCCATGCTTAACTTTAAACGTTTTCTGTAATTGTGATTGTAATTGTGCACTCTACATTTTTGTTAAAAAGTAGTCCTTGCTTATGTGTGGTTTTGAATTTACAGGATGTATCATATCATAGTTCGAAGGGGAGGGGTGATACTCCTCGCAGGGACGGTGATGGACGGAGCAAGTACAGCAGAGACGGAAGACGTGATCGGGATAACAGATATGAAAGAGAATCTCCTCACCGTGATGGACGAGATGATCGAGATAGACGGAACAACACCCCTAGAAGACCCCCGAGTCGAACTCCAGGTAATGATCCACTGTACGTGGAAGGCTGCATTGTATATAGCTAAGTACAATTCTTCTTAGTTCCCTTGCCACTCGTTTTCTATCCGTCGTCACAGGAAACATAGGAATTTTCCTAATGACTGATATCACACACAGCACAACCGTACTAAGTTTGTTTCTTCGGGCAAAACAAGTAACCTTCATTACTTGTGACCAGATAACTCTTCTTTGCAGCGCACCTTCTACATCTCAGCAAGAATAAACCATATACTGTATATAGACCAGAAGGACAAAGTATGAACTGGAACTTACAGCCCGAAAAATACAAGAGTCGTGAATCTTGGGCATCAGTTGCTGACTAAAGCTAACTTTTTCTCGCAGAATTTACGAATATACATAAAACAAGATATGACTAGATATAACTCAAAAAACAAGATATAACAGTAGTTTTAGCTCTACGCAGGATCAATCTTGGAAGTAGTGTTCCAGCCTTTGACGGTTTCAAGTGACGATCCGTAGAATTGGTAACATGCTTGATATTGAATTTCCGATTGTCTAGCTCTTTGTCTCGAATGTTGTGTACAAGTGTTGTACCCATATTTTTCGCTGGATCCATTGCATCGTTCGGCGCCCCACCTATAGCTGTTTGTTTGTCAGTTGGCACAGTTTGAAGGCCTCTCTGCGTGTATATCTAGCCTTGTGGTGACTCATGCGGGAAGTATATACACTTTCCTTGTACATATGTGCTCAACTCGTCGCTTTTCACGAATCATTGGGGATTTCTTTTGTAGTCCACGAGTTGAGTTCTGAGCTATGCAGTGTCGTTACTTCCTATTCTTGTTGATCGAAATAAGCGGTACCTTTATTACTTCAATTAGTAGGAGGTAACAGGCTTGACTGTCTTGAATCTACTATCGTTGCATGACGTACTGAAACACGTCTGAATCTCTGGTGAAAATGTGAAGTTCGATCACCTTGGGAGGACGAGCGCTGGGAGATGGATGGGACCCCTAATCGAGACTCGAGGTCCAGTCGGTCTGGAAGCGCTGCAGCCTCACCATCATATGTTCCACCGTCTCCTGCTGAGCTGCGATTGCTTTCTCCTTGGGAGGGACCTCGTGCTGACGGTGAGATTTATATTCCAGGCCTACACCTCGTCCGTTCTTCTATGTGCTTCAAGTTTCCACTTTTTGCTATCTGGAAATCTACTGATTGTTAGTATCCTTATTCGCAGGATGGTCTCCATCACCATGGGACGCCGTCTCCCCTTCCCCAATACCTATTCGGGCGGGAGGTTCTTCTCGAGAACCGTCTCCCGCACGCAGTACAACGAAGCAGCATCAGCTGAAGTTCAAGCCGCAAGCAGCAACACCGCGACATGGAAATATGGTTTGTCGAGACTGCCTTTGACTTACCGGAAGATGTAGTTTGTGCCGAATGTTTACACGAGTATATTTCTCCTTGAATTGGAGAGCATCGTCAGGACGCCACTGACATTCACTGCGCAAAGTCACCAAATTACCTCACAGCGTTCATGTATATCTGATTATTTCTAATCACTTGTAGTCATGAGAGGCAATAGCAGTGCGCAGTCTGTTTTGTGCCGTAACCGATTCTTCCTTTTTTGGTGCAGAATATAATCTTAGAGGATGAAACAGATAGAGGGCGTGGCAACCCAGAGGAAGATAATTGGGAGGCGGATGCCGCAACTCAGGCAGAAATAGCACAAGCCGAGCGTGATGTGGATAGATCATGGTAGGTTCATGCTTTTCAATTGATATACATTCTAAGTGCCTTTAGATTGTTAATCCTCACATATCCAGGGTATTTGTCTCGGACATTCACTCAGTTTCTGTACGAACTCTTAACTCCTCTTTCAAGAGAATTAGGTTTCTCCCAATATTCATTCTCTTCCGACTAGCACCGCTCTGCCAGGGCATTGGGCTTATGGTCTTCAGGCTATAATGGCACATGTTTTGAGTCCAGTTTATTCGAAATGAGGCCGCTACTATTTGGTCCGCACCTGATTAGTCCTGTTCTTATCAGGTATGATAGAGAGGAGGGAACTTCAACTTTCGACGCTGACAATGCTGCACCATTTCTTGGAGATGAAGCAACTTTTAAGAAAAGGGAGGCAGAACTTGCGAAGAGGCTGGTAGGTACAACTTACTCGAAGGGTTAGCTACAAACTGAATGAGTCTTAGCTGCTTCACAAAAGATTGTAGGGAATTTATTCCAAAAGATTTGTTCGTTTGGTACTTGGTTGTTGTTCATTGAGGTGGTTCATTTCTCGATTGCGCTACGTTTCTCTCTGCGCAAACTTCAGGAATTCACTGGCTCACATATTTTTCTTTGAAATCTTTGATAGACTCGTAGAGATGGGTCAAGCATGAGTTTGGCTCAGAGCAAGAAGCTCTCCCAGTTAAGTGCCGATAACGCACAATGGGAGGATCGTCAGCTTCTAAGATCTGGTGCTGTTCGGGGCACAGAACTGCAAACTGAGTTTGATGATGAGGATGAGAACCGTGTCATTCTTTTGGTACATGGTGAGGAACCCCTCTTTTCCGCCCTTATGTGAATCTTATGTTCTTGTCTCATATTACATGCAAGGTCCGCCTACTCGGGCATATGAGTGACTGTCTACCAAAGTGATTTTAAGTTCTTGCCGTTCAATTATCAGAGGAACTTTCATCCGTATACCTCAGGCTTTGTAGGACAGACTGTTGTTTCATTATACCGGCCGAAGGTGTTTTCTCACGATAATGACGCTATATCTTTGTGTGCTCTTGATAGATACAAAACCTCCCTTCCTGGATGGGAGGGTTGTTTACACCAAGCAGGCTGATTTAGTACTGCCAGTCAAAGATCCAACATCCAATCTGGCAGTAATTGCCCGCAAAGGGTCAGCTCTTCTACGCGAAGTCCGTGAGAAACAGAGTCAGAGTAAATCCCGACAAAGATTTTGGGAGCTTGCTGGCTCCAAGCTCGGAAACATATTGGGTGTCGAAAAGACTTCCGAGCAGGTATTTAGCTAGTGATCATACAGCTATTTACGAATCTACGATAATACTTGATTATCTTGCAAGCGCGTGAGTTGTTTGGTAAATGTTGCCTGTTCACAGTTAGTTTCTAACTTTGAAATCGATTGAACAGGTTGACGCAGACGGTACAGATGTAGGTATAGAGGGTGAGGTCGATTTCAAGGAGAACAACAAGTTCGCCACACACATGAAAAAGGGTGAAGCTGCAAGCGATTTTTCGAGATCCAAAACATTGCAAGAACAACGACAATACTTACCCATCTTCTCAGTTCGGGACGAACTCTTGCAAGTATTGCACCCTCCCCTTCCCGTTTGAGACTGTAGCACCTCAAATCGCGCAAAGCTTTTCGTTTTATCTACTTACACGAAACAAAACCTTGTGAGTTACGGATATGTACTAGGCATCTGTTATAGGTAGACTTGAATATTAGTTACTGTCTGCGTGCAGGCAAAACCTTGCTCTTGGATAAAAGGGAAGTAACCGACTTGGGCAGTTACTTCCCTAGTATGAAATTGAGAGATCAACGTTGTGGTGTGCTTGATGATTCTGTGACTGCACATATATCAAGAACAACAGTCTTTGATTGCTGACTGTTGCCTGCTCTGCATGCCTTCGTAAACAGATCGTGCGTGAAAATCAGGTCATCGTCGTAGTCGGAGAGACTGGCTCTGGGAAAACAACACAAATGACTCAGGTTTTGCCTTCACACTCGCATCACTTTTCCCTGAATTTATGTCAACATTTATCGATATATGAGCTAAGTTATGTGTCCACTGCAAATGTGCAAGCCTTACATCTGCTAACTGGCTGTCAGCTACGGATTTCGAAGGTCATAGGTCATACTGGTAACTGAATCACCAGGAGTTACCTGTCCTAGCCTCAAGAGTACAGACTCCGTCTACCGGGCTGGGCGGTAATCGAAACTTGGATATAATGTGACCTCCTCGCAGTGCAAGGGTCTTCCTTCAATACTAATGAAAAGCTGGAATTCTTTTGGGCAGTTTTTGCACGAAGATGGACACACAACTTATGGCATGATTGGTTGTACTCAACCTCGCCGAGTTGCAGCGATGAGTATCGCAAAGCGTGTCAGTGAAGAAATGGAATGTGAGCTAGGTGATAAGGTTGGATACGCCATCCGTTTTGAAGACGTCACCGGTCCCAATACGGTAGTCAAGGTTCGTTTGATACCTCATTGAACCCGTTGTTTTGCCAATAAATCATCGAAGTACAGTAAACTGCTTCAAAGCTGGGACTTGTTTTCATCCGGAAAATCCACGCTTTTAGTTAGTTGCAAGAGAGGAGCCTATGTTTTAAAGTGGAACTGCACATTATTTTACGATGCATAGTTACTGATTTTTACGAATGGGACTGCAGTATATGACAGATGGCGTGCTTCTTCGTGAGACTTTACGCGAACCCGATCTCGATCAGTACAGGTATTGCTTGCATTTCCACATGCAATCAGTTGGAAGCCCTATTGTCTCATGAATGTTGTCGCCTTCAGCAATTGCTTCTCCTCACTCACACACCAAAATTCATTTGGATGTCTCCAGCGTGGTCATCATGGACGAGGCTCACGAGAGATCTCTCAGTACGGATGTTCTTTTCGGAATCTTAAAGAAGGTGGTCGCTCGCCGGCGGGATTTTAAGCTGATTGTCACTTCAGCAACTTTGAACGCGCAAAAATTCTCTGACTTTTTCGGCAGGTATGTCACCACAGAGGCTCATACGTTACTTGTCGATTGTGTACTTTTGACGTGATATTGAATCGTCTGTTTGGGGCTCACTGTCTGACAGCTGCTTCAACTATAGACGTTCACATTTGCTCAATCCACTCATGCCGCAATGGAGAACAGAGTCGTATTCTTCAAGTATATTCGTCATGTGATGCCGCTTTTCGTCTAAACAGTTTTAGCGCATTTTGTACTCAACATCGATGCATTACTTACTGCATCTATGGAAGAGAGGAGTGGAAGGCGAGATCCTTGAATAGGTTAAAACTGATCAGGGTAGTGAAGTATGATAAGTCACTCACAACCTGTTCTGATTGCTACAGTGTTCCGGTGTTCAACATTCCGGGTCGGACGTTTCCTGTGAACATCTTGTATAGCAAAAGCCCTTGTGAGGATTATGTCGATGCAGCGGTTAAGCAAGCAATGTCTATTCACATATCCTGTCCACCTGGGGACATTCTAATATTCATGACCGGTCAAGACGAGATCGAGTGCTGCTGCTTTGCACTTGCAGAACGAATGGAGCAGCTAGAAAGTAGTAGCGAACGTGCTATTACACCCATGTCAATTCTGCCTATCTATTCCCAGTTGCCATCTGACCTTCAGGCGAAGATTTTTCAAAAAGCAGAGGGTGGTGCTCGTAAGTGTATAGTTGCCACCAATATTGCCGAAACTTCGTTGACTGTGGATGGGATTTTGTACGTGATTGATTCCGGGTATACCAAGATAAAAGTCTACAATCCACGAATGGGTATGGATGCACTGCAAGTTTTTCCTGAGAGTCGAGCAGCAGCGGATCAGAGATCAGGAAGAGCGGGTCGAACAGGGCCTGGAACGTGCTATCGACTGTTTACAGAGACAGCGTATCGTGAGGAGATGCTTCAAAATCCTGTACCAGAGATCCAGAGGACCAACCTGGGTAATGTTGTACTTCTTTTGAAGTCGCTCAACATTGATAACCTCCTGCACTTCGACTTTATGGATCCACCTCCGCAGGAGAATATTTTGAACTCCATGTATCAACTGTGGACACTGGGAGCTCTTGACAATGTCGGGGGTTTGACCTCCTTGGGAAGGAAAATGGTGGAATTTCCTTTAGATCCGCCTCTTGCCAAGATGTTGCTCATGGGAGAGAAGCTAAGTTGTGTGAACGAGGTCTTAACTATAGTGTCGATGCTATCGGTTCCATCGGTTTTCTTTCGCCCGAAAGACAGAGCAGAAGAAAGTGATGCAGCACGCGAAAAGTTCTTTGTGCCTGAAAGCGATCACCTGACTCTCTTGAATGTGTACCAACAGTGGAAATCTAATCAGTATCGCGGCGACTGGTGTAATGACCATTTTTTGCATGTGAAAGGCCTGAGGAAAGCCCGAGAAGTTCGATCGCAGCTCATGGATATTCTGAAATCACAGAAAATTCCTCTTACCTCATGCGGAAGTGATTGGGACGAGGTGCGGAAAGTTATCTGCTCTGCCTACTTCCACAATGCTGCCAGGCTGAAAGGAGTCGGTGAATACCTGAATTGTCGTAACGGGATGCCTTGTCATCTCCACCCAAGTAGTGCCCTCTATGGTTTAGGTTATACACCGGATTATATCGTCTATCATGAGTTGGTGCTCACTAGTAAGGAATACATGCAGTGCGTGACTGCAGTTGAACCCCAGTGGCTTGCCGAATTGGGGCCCATGTTTTTCTCAATCAAAGATTCGCACACATCGCGACTCGAACAGCACCGCAAACAGCGAGAAGAGAAGACTGCAATGGAACAGGAAATGGAAGAGGTGAGAAAGAAACAAGCATTGAAAGAGGAGCAACAGAAAGAAAAGGAGCGCGCTACACGGGCTAAGGAGAGGCAGTCCGTTGCTACTCCAGGAATGGTCCGTGCTGGGGCGCAACCTTCTTCACGACATCGACGTCTTGGACTGTAATTAGGAGCAATGTTTTGTCAGTAGTGTTGTCAGTCAACCATTCTTTGCGTTTGTACCTCTTACATGCATGTAAGTATCTATGTTGGTGATGCGAAATTCGCTTTTTTCTCGCCATATTGGCAGACCATCACACGCCCTGATGTGACGAAGATGTCATCTGGTTTCTGAATCTGGAGCAGTGAAGTAGGACCTGTTGTGACACCTGAAATTTCTGGATTGCTTCTGAACCTTGCTCCTCAAAAGTCTGCTCTCTCTAACAATTTAACTGGGGTATCATCCATGTTGTTGTACTTTTTGGTCGAAGCCTTGCACCGTTTCAAGACCATTGGGAGGGATGCATGATAATTTACAGCATGAGAATACCTCGAAATAATAAACGGGCAGGGATCTATGCGCAGATACACTGAAGAAGAGATCTTGACTTCCTTCTTCGATGCTTCACTTGAAGTTGACAGAGGATGGAGGAACCACATGTGATGTTTGTCACGTTCAATCAATCTGCACAGCTCAAAGTCCTGCTTTGTTGGTCAAAGCCTTTCCGTACTGAGTGTTTAATGCTTCTTATACCTTGTTGGTGAAGTGTCTCTTCCTTTCGTTTGGAATCACTTTCAGAAACCTAAATTTTGTCTTCCAAGTGATTATGACATGTCCTTGAGTAGCTTGCCAGTACTTCAGATGGTTCTCGTCTCATGGGCAATGGGAGACATTATACATGATGTTGTATCCATCGCGTACACAAAAGTATACCTTTGAGAGTGATACGACTCGTCGAATATCTGTACAAATGTATCAAATACAAAACATTGCTACATAAATTGACCAATGGACACTTATGATGTATGTTACATCGTCTGATAATCAGTTTGGACGTTTCTTCTGTTCTTGTTTGGGAATTAAGGTAAGTAAAGTGAATAGGAGGGCCAAGAATAGGTAGAGAGGTGTCGATTACTAAAACACTGTCCGATCTCATATCATTGAACAATTGTACATTGCCGAATCAATTGTTCTACATTTAACTAGATTGATAAGCTTTAGAGCGAAAGGGTGGATTATGTTGAAAGATGATTGGCTTGTATGAGTTGGTTCACACTCATAGCACTGTGATGTTATTGTCACTCCAACCACATGATCATTTAGGTAGGGCTTGATTGGAATGGTGAGGGGCCAAGTCAAGGTGTAACCTCATTGTTCTAAACACAGATTAAGAAGTCTTGACGCAAAGTCCAACCCAAAGTCCATGATCATCCAGCTTTGCCCAAATCTCGAGTTTGTTCTCAATTTGCACCGCAGGAATATAAAACGCTAGGAGCCGCTTGGGCTTGTCGTTGCCAAATCGCTACAGATGTTTCCTAAACGTAGTTTTAAACATCGCACAGCCTAATACAATGTCGATCCCTTCATGGCATCTTTGAAGGAAACTCTGCAGATTTACGTGAACTGCAGAAACGGTGGACTCCCTGCAGAGCATGACTATATGTAGCTCACACAAAGAGCTATCAACAACATTCATGCAGGACTTGTGCAGGTTTTGCCACCACATCGAGAGTTCGTTTCCGCGTAGAGTTCTTATGCTAAACACTCAATTCATAACAGCAGTGAACGCTGAGAATCAACTGAGAACAATGTGCACGTCCTGTCATGTTCGCTAGCCAGGAGCTGTCCGAGGGTGTACCTGGCTTGCTTCTTATTCTGTTTGATGCCAGGATTACATTAAGTTCCCTCGCGATGAGCAAAAAAAAGACGTCTTTATATTCCATCTTCCATCATTTCAGAGTTCCTGTGAGGAGTTGAAAATGGTTACATATTTTAAAATATTTATATTTATAAACCACTTCGTCCCCGTACAACAATCGGTACACAAAATGTAGAGAAAATTTTCTAAGAAAAAACTAGTCTGTAAAAATATTATCCATGTCAAAATTCTTTACTTTGAATTTTTTTGACTTATATATATATATATATATATATATATATATATAAGTAGTAAATTACCTCAGTTGCAATGTGATGTAAACTAGATTGAGAGTATAATGGGCGCACCCACATTGAAGCCGCCTGGTTTCATCCCTGCAACACTTGATGTATTCACACATTGTTGTAATCTACATGGACCGGTCATATTACCGTCAGTTTTGCTGTTGTACTCGGTTGCATTGTGGTCTGGTCACCGGCATCGACGACGTACGACCGACAGGACCAGTCGTCCGAAAGCCGTCACGGAGGGTGTCGATAAACCCTGAACCTCACTCGTCTCCCTGGAGATGGCGATCACGAGCAGAAGCAGACGGTGCAGGGGATCAGACAGCTCATGGACAAGTGCTGCAATCGTCTTGGATGCGACATTCGGTTTTGCTGCGAGGAGTGCGAGGTCGGGTATCGTCGCTCGGAGAATTGCCACAGGCGGTCGAGGATGCTGATATCGTCTGAGTTTGTTGGGTAGCTAATGGTGGCCACATGCGCAAAAATGCAAGGAGGAATCCGCTGCGGTGCCAGGCTCTCGCAGAGGATGGAGATGGAGTTGTTTCGACAGCTGGGTAGTGCCAACAGTGGGGTTTCGCTCGGGCGCACAAACGGCGTCGCAGCGTCCAATTTTGGCTCCACATTGCTGTCCACGCAAGTTTCATCAACAGCTCGCTGTCATCGTTTTCACTCCGCTCTCGTTCAGTCGCAGTATGCGTCACAATTCTCTCGTAGTTGTAGCTGCAGCAGGAGATCAGTGTCTCTTCTCTCTTTCAAGCACGGTTTTGGTCTATCCGGTGAGCGCTTCGAGCCACTTGCGCAGCAGTTTAGCACATCGAGAGTTGCTTCAGCACCTAGAGTTACCACTTCCTTTCACCCTGATGATGTTAGGGGCGAGCCCAGAACAGACGAGCTTGTTTGCCCTGGATGTGGAATTCAGATGCAGGACACAAATCCTAAAGCCCCGGGTTACTTTCAAGAACCAGCCCGGCCCAAAAAATTGTCAGATGAAGACTCCGCTGAACAAAGCGAGTTAATGCTCGAGATGGCAGAGCTGGAAAGGCAACAGCTGGAAGAGGACAAGGAGAAGGAATCAAAGGAGGAAGAGTTCTGGTTAGAAGGAATTGAGGAAGACGTGAGCCTCTTTGAATCTCGATCTTCGCGGAGACGGGCTAAGAAGGAGAAATATGCCAAGAAAGACATATTGGCTCAAGTTGAAGGCGAGAAGCCTGTAGTATGTGCCAGATGCCATGCGCTTAGAAACTATGGAAAGGTGAAAGATGAGGCTATGGAAAATCTTCTACCGGATTTTGACTTCGAGAATGTGGTGGGTGATAGGTTAAGGAAGTCTATTGGGCGGAGAGCAGTGGTTCTTATGGTGATTGATGCCGTTGACTTTGATGGATCTTTTCCTAGAATGGCAGCTACTCTGCTAGCAAGTTCGGAGAAGGAATTAGCGGGTTCCTGGCAAGACGGGAAGTCTGGGAATGTCCCTCGTCTAGTGATTTGTTTGAACAAGGTCGACCTGCTTCCGGGTCAAATTTCACCCATAAGATTGGAGCAGTGGGTGAGACGAAGATCTAGAGCGGGAGGTGTTTCACAGATCAGCGGGGTACACGTTGTGAGTGCCTACAAAGGGTGGGGAGTAGATAAATTGGCCAAGCAGCTGACAGAGATGGCCGGCCCGAGAGGTGATGTCTGGGTCATAGGAGCTCAAAATGTGGGAAAGTCTTCTCTTATTAATGCCTTAGGAAAGATAACTACGGAAGAGAAGGAGAAAGAAAAGAAGAAGGTTTTCCTGACTGAGGCTGCAGTGCCGGGAACAACCGTAGGCGTCGTAAAACTCGAAGGAATATTGCCCGGCAGGGCAAGAGTACTCGATACACCTGGGCTTCTTCATCCCCATCAAATTACAACGAGGCTTACTAGGGAGGAGCAAAAAATGGTGCAGATTCGGAAAGTTTTGAAACCAAGAACTTTCCGTGTGAAGGTATGAGACTGTTGGCGACATGAAATTGCATTCCTCCTGAGTTGTGTTCTAACCATCTGGAAGTCTTCGTTTTACTGTCAGTTTGCTTTCTTGCAAAGCACAACAACAGTGCAGCAGTTTAAAAATTCAGGGGCTTTCTGCACGTGGCTTCTTTTTGAAGCTGGTACTGGACGCAACATCGTTTCTTTACATGATCACCATATGCGGCTCTTAAAGCACAGTTGGACAGGATATTGAAGCCTAGTCGGTAGACCCTTAGATAGTGTCAACCCTGTAGAGCACGTCTCTGACATATAGAAGTTCGTGACGGTTCCGTCTAGCTCATGTATGCCTTAAATCTGGCAAGAAGTTTGTTCAATTTCGTTCCTTTATGTGTCTGGAAAGGTCTTCTGAACTTCTCCCGCAGCCGTGTAAGTTTTACAGCTATAGAACTTTAAGGATGACAACCTTGTCAACCATCTGGGTACCAATTCTAGACGGTTAAACCATTAGGAATGCACTGCTCACTTTTCCCATTTGTGCTGCACACCTCGGAATTTTTGGCTGGGGTATTCTGGAAACAGACAAGTTTTGTATGACCAAAGGTCCTTATTTGTGCGCTGACAGGATGATAATGTCATTTAGGCTGCTGATACGTACGATGTCACTGGGAATCAGCCATTGATGTTCATTGATTTTTTGGCATCATTAACGTTGCTAGAGATGGATGGAATTGACTAAGTCGAAGTCACGATGTCTTTTGCTTTGTAGGTAGGTCATGCTATCTCTGTTGGAGGCCTGATGAGAATGACAGTAGTCAAAGCACCAGCGGACAGCATCTACGCAACAATTTGGGCATCGGCATTCATTCCGTGTCACATGGGACAGGCGGAGAAGTCTGCAGAGCTTTTTGAGAGACATGTTGGTGACAAACTTACGGTATGATAAATTTCTTCTAAATTTTCGCGAATACTGCTGCAAATAACTCACCGCCCGAACTAAACGTGGAACATTGTTGATAATCTCTGACACCACGTTTTATGATTGGTCGAAATTGTCGTCGTTGCTACGAGGCTATGAACAAGCTCCGGAAGGTTTTTACATTATATGTTTAGAAGCGATCCTTTACCACTATGAAGAGATTCGATACTTCACTATTGTAATTTCCGATCACTTCAGCAATTTTATGACATTAAGAGTGCAGTTCTGGCGAACTTACAAGGACATTCAGCTGTCTGGAGACTGTCCATACGAGTAATAGGAACTGTTGAAGTCCTTCGAACTTGCCAATTGAGAAACACTAAGACGATATCCGTCTCATAGGAAGGCGGAGCTTATTTTTGATCCTTTAGCCGGTCAGAACTGTTCATGCATCGACATTTAAAGCAGTGACTTTGTCAGGAGCGATCTTTCTTCCTTCACCCGACAGTACTTTGTCCGATACCTCCTGCTGGGAAGATGATGCACCATCGTCACATGACCACCAGTAAGCCTGTTGGTCATGTCTCTTAACTTCAGTCCTGACCTTACAAGAAAAAACCGAACCGATTTATACATTTTTCATTTCCTTGACTTCTATTTTTCTCTGCCTTGATCGCTCGTTAGATAGAGCAGAAGCCTCTGTCTGCATACCTTAGGTGCTTTCGACTTAAGTATGATTTGAGCAATTTTGGGCATAACATAAGATTCTTTCATCCAGTATTGGTCACAATTGAGTTTAAATTATCATCAGATGCCCTTTTAAACATGTCCTTTTCTAGCTTGAACCCAAACGATCGTCCTTGTTAATTTACTACGCTCATTTGGATTTCGTTTCGATTCCGTTTGGTTCCTCAAAAGATTTATCTGCCACTAGGCTTTGCCCTTCTGATGTTATACGTGGGATTTTGTCGTGCCAAGGTTTGGTCCCATAGAATTTCGTGTGTAGAAAGTTTTGATATGGATTGTATCACCTACCTCGGGAGACTGAAGCGTGCTAATCGTTTGTCGTTTTTCAATCTTCGTTTGATGCTTGGCTATTTCTATCAGTTTTTTCTGTTTCAAGTCCAGAGTACAGAATATCCATGATTTATCTTCATTTTTATGCATGGACGATCTGTGTCCATCTGTTGACTTTTTCACAGTAGAGAATGTGTGTAATATCTCAATAGTAGTAATTTGTACAATTGGAAGCCATTTTGAGAGAAGCAACGATCCCTGTGGTATAGACACAGATAGGTACACGAACACGTCAACAGAGCCACAGCGCGATCTTGCCTGTGAGGCTCTCTTTGACTTGGAGAATTTGAAGATACTTCATGAATTATGACAACCACGCACTCGCTCGAAGTAATTGATGTTTGACAAGTGACGATTTTCGTTCTCGCTGACTGAAAAAACGGTAATGAGAGACACTCTTCATCGAGTAGCTAGAAAGTCTCCTACTGATAGGAGGCTAGTCGGCTCAGACCTTGGGTTCGTTTGCTGCTTTAAGCTTTACAGAAGCGGAACGGCAAGTAGGCCAGCTAACTCCATCGCCGAATTGAATGCCTTATGATACTTCATTTAGCAAAACGTTTCCAAGTTGCTGTGGAGGCGCAGATGTCGCACCTCCTTGTTCCGGAACAAAAAGGTATGACCTAGAGTCGGGTCCGAGGGATGCTTTAACACGTGAGTTCTCCATCAGCTCTGAAGAAGTGAGCCGTTCCTTACAGGATACCGCCTGGCCCTTTTGGTGTCATGCAGATACTATGACGATGATTGCTGGCTCTTTTACCCAGCGTCGTTGAAACTTTGATGGGTGCTGAGATTATCATGTTGTTTCCCTGTATTATCATAGTTGTTGTTTTGCTGAATGATTCGTATATATTAGATGTACACCATCTGGGTACGTACTGCTCGTATGTCCTGAGGGAGTTTCCCCAGTTTCGCTCATATCTTTATTGCATTTGCGCATCATTCTTGGCATTCGTTCACTTTTTAAGGATGTCGTCAATTCGTTTTACACCGCTGCGTTGTCCGATTGTGCATATTCTTTTGAAGCTATTGTAAATGTTTATTCCGCCACCAAAGGACGATATGGATCTCTTCTATGCCTCCAGGATTATACAGAAACTCATTGGCTGAAGATTGTGCATCCTTTTGCCCATGTTGGCGATTCTGGTTATGTCTGGTCGCTCAAACTTTTGTGAATCGAGTTCGGCATGAAAATTTAAACAGCACCGAGAGCAGCGAGAGAAAAACGTATTTTATCTTTAGAGTGAATCAAGCAGCCCCTCTTACATCTTTCATGATGTGTTTTATGCTCAAAAGAGCTATATTCACCTTCCGCCCTGCGAATATGTACGGGATTCTAAACACTGCTTTTTCTATTCCTATTCTCGTCCTTTACTTGCTCTCAAGTTTACGTTTACTACGGGATCTTGTAGTCTCCGTTCTCCTTGTTTATTATCGCCGGCAGAATGATGCTGGTTTTTGGCAATGAGCTCAATGTTTGCATCTGCCATGTGTCTGCTTTCATTGCATTGGGCTGTTTGCGTTATTCAGCCACTCACCTTTACATATGAATCGCTTAATTCTTCATTTTCTTCCCCTTTCTTTCATACAATAGGCTATACATAAACTGTCCTTACCTTGATTGTTTATCTTTTATTCCTCTTTTGTGGTGGCAAGTAACATTATCGCTTGCGACACATTTCTCTCGAGTAGTTCAAACTGTTTATGTGAATACTATCCCAGTAATAAGCTCAAAAGAATTCAGCTGTTTAGTGTGGATGTTAAAGTTTGTAAGGCCTGAGCACATTTGAGAATATATCCATTCAGTGACCCTAGTACTAAGGTCTTTCATTCTGGAGATGATAATTTCTGTAAAGGCCTGAGCCCGTCTAAATGACCGATCCAGGCTATATATATATATATATATATATATATATGTATATGTATATGGTGTTGTGCACATGTGTTTCATACGTCTCTGATTGGATCTCTTGCTAATTTTGTCGACTACCAGGTTTATTGAACGGTGTTGCTTTTGGAATAACTTACAGATGTGGACATCATACAAAAACTTTGTCTTCTTCAATTCAAAACTCCGTAGTTGTTTCTGGTAGTTGTCCTTGCGAAGTTGCATTGTGATTCAAGATATACAGTCTTCTTGTCATTATTGCTCAAACGTTGGACATGCAAATGATAGTAAGATGCTAATTGCAATGCTTTTTTCCTCTGGTTTTTAATTTGTGTAATGTTCATGTTGCAATGAAAGAGAACCATTCTGAGTTGTTTGCTTCAAGTTTTTGATTACTTCAGGACAATAAGATATGAACGAATGAGGAATACATAATAGAATGGTCTTTCTATTTAAACGCGGAAATGATTGAAATTTGCGGTGGCAATACCCATCATGACACATCAAGCAAGTCTCCTACTTCATACGTTCAAAACCATGTTTTGGACGTACCCATTGCAGGGTAGCTAATAGCAGCAAATGTCATGACTACAATAGTTAGTCTAAACTGTCGTTACCCTCGTAGGCATAATATTCATCCCTGGCCTCTGAATCTGTCTGCATTGAAGATGATGTAATACTTGTACATTGTGTCTTGTGACATTGTATGAGTGGTCTTTCCTGACTGGACATCTGTTTCATACTTTTCTGCGGACCATTTCTCTAGAGTTTGGCACTTGGTTGTCATTGGCTTCTCATGTCGTCATTACCAAGTTTGGATTTATAGACTTTTCCTGCTGCTCCTCCGGTTTTTGAAGAAAGTTAGGCCCATGTGAAGGATGTTGACTTATCTCTTGATACTCCCTTCTTCGTCTCTGGATGCCTAGATATCCACGCGAAGCCCTTTTTCCATCTGAACCTCGCCATTGGTTGTTGTGGTGCAACAGGAACCAACCTGTAAAAGTATTTAACTGAAGATGACATGAACGAAATTCACGTCATGGACTGAAATATGCGTCATTCCTCCGGAGTAAATCATGACCAGATTGAGGAGTGCCCAATGACCTTGATCTAGTTTTGATGACGCTCTCTCATATGTTGTGGATGCAAGATGAGTTGACGGTGTTTACGTTTCTTGTCTATCCGCACTGTAGAGTTGATGATTTACACTCTTTGCTAAGTAATCTCTCTTGAAAATATCTACACACCAAATCACTGATTTTGTGTGACATCTCAGATATGAAAATCAACTCTAACTATGAAATTCAAGTTGATTTCAACTTATCAGGCTAAGTTATTATATCAGAGATTTGTGACATGTCTGATTTCAAGGTACCAAGGATGAGGCTCCTTGATTGATTTAGTAATGGTCAGTTAAGATGACCAATGACATCATTAACAGATTTAGCAGTCCTAGCCTTCATCTACGGACCATGAAAATTGAGTATTTCATTTGGTCCATGTACGGGATCTGCAAGGAGGTCAATGTTATGAAAAGCTATTATCAGATCTACGAAGAAAGAGTCTGTCGTAGAGGTCGGCCTTTAAGCATTAGCTTGATTGTACCCAACTAGTGTAAGGGACCGAATGGGCTGTTTCCTGCTGTCAAAAAGCACGGCGTAAGGTTGCTAAAATGATTGTTGTTCGTTGGCTGTGCCTTTACTTCAGTACTGATCTTGGCATCTATGAGTACAGACAGAACTTTTGTTGGTAACAGCATCAACAGTAGAACAGTTTTTATTCGGACATGTAGAAGCAATCTGTAGCTTAATCATGACCCTTATCATCTTTTTCACTTTGATTACGCTATGCTTTTGGTTTTGTACTAAAAACGAGAACGATGTTGCAGCCTCCATCAAGCAAAGACAGAGTTGAAGAGTTGGGACGATGGGTGTCTAGAACCGTCCAAATATCTGGCGAGAAATGGGACCAGAGCAGTGTAGACATTGCCGTTGCAGGTGTCGGGTGGATTGCTTTCGCTCTGTCTGGAGCGGCGACATTGGAAGTCTGTACATGGGAAGGTGTTGCTGTCACTGTCCGTGAGGCGATGGTATTCGATATGGCCGCTGTCTTCGAAAGGCCTGGATTTACAGCACTTAAAGCTACCAGTAAAGCTGGTGCACAGAAAACATAGTTTGATTTCTAACTTCATCTGAATGTTTCGGAGAAAATGTATACACTCTTCTTTGACAAGTTATGGTTAAAGATCAAACCCTGACTTGTTCTTTATTAATAAAAAATTCAAATCTAAACTCGCCAGAGTTTTGTATGTTTTCACTCTTTATTTGCATAATTTGGATGATGCAATTCTTCTATCGGAGAAATTGTGACTTTGTCTCTAAAGCCTTTCTTCTCAAGCCCTGCAATTTTACCTGCTTTCACCCCGTAGTCTGACCTTTGCCCTCTTCCTCTTTAATTTTTTGTAGATTACTGTTACATTGTCCTATGTCTTTTCACCATTTTCACCTCTACAACTTACTTGTTTGTAGTTCTTGTAATCTCTCTTCGCAGTGTGTATCTCGACTTCATTATTCCAATGTTACACTTGACTTCTTTGAACAATTTAGAAATTAGAAAATTATCCACACCGCGGTACTATTTGAAGTGCTGGGTAGAGGAGCAGAAATTTGAGAACCAAGGAGTCAGTTTTAGAGCCCAATTCAAATCAGAGTCAGTATATTTTGCTCTTTAGGTTGGTCACAATGGTGAAGCGCCTACATGTGTTCAGCAAAGTCCGAGTTTCAGCACTAGAATGTTCTGATGGAAACAGAGAAAACGTCTAAAACGTCCTTAGCAAAGCTAGTTTTTCAGCATTAGAGATCTTGAGCAAATCTGACAAGAAGCTTTTGCACTGTGTAAAAGTTGGAGCAATGTGGCTTCAATCAAACAATATTGACTTCCTTTAAGCGAATCTCCACTCCAATTCATTTTCTTGCAACAGGGGTGTCAAGATTCTCAAAAGGTTACTGTGAATGGCCGTGATGTCAGTCGTTCGTGCGGTCAGATTTATTCTTCCTGGTCTTCAATTTTCACTTTTCACCCTTGCTCGCGACTTTCTTTTCCACATTACGTTCAAGAACAGTGGTTACGTCTGCTTGATCTGAAGAGCCTTCCACAACTTTTTGCGCTTCCAATACAGGACCGTAATAGCTCACGTTGTTCCTCATGCATGCCGTCAAAATTCCAGTCACGAGACTGCAATCCTGGAATACATTTCTACCGTCTTTTTCTGCCGCTTCTGTACATTTTTCCCAAGCATTAAAACTCTTTCCGCAAGGACCTAATTTCATGTAATCGCAGAAAGGGCAGTCTTCGTCGTCGGCTTTGGCTTCGTCAGACTCAAAATCACTATTTTCTAATGGCCTATCATCCTTAGCTTCTTCCAGTAAATCGGAATCCTCCTCGAGTTGGATTTCAAGTTTTTCAAGCCTCGCCGCCTCTTCTGGATCGTCTACATCTTCATCTTCTTCGTCCTCCAGAACTTCTTCCTCAAGTTCTGTGGAAACTGAACTTTCTTCATTACCTTCGTCATCCTTTTCAGTCATCCTGTCACAATAACCCAATCACAATTGCAACCCTACACCAATCACCGACACCGCAACTAGCACGGAATTTCTCCGACCCCTAGTGGGCGAAAGAGTCCCCCCAACCACGTGATCGTTTCACAACTCGTCGATTCGGACTTCTGTGCCATCGCCTCTAAATGAGACCTTTGCACGGCGCGCTCGCTCACGAATTTCGGCCGGACCGTCGCCATCGTCGCCAATGTGCAGATTCAATGCTGCTGAGCCTGAACACTTCGCGTACCAATTCGGACGTTACGTACCGTAATCCGAACTTCATTAATCACCACTCTCAACCAGTGTCCTTTCAAAATTAGTCATCCAATGCCTTGTAATTATGCAAGTGTTTATAATTTCCATTTAGAGAGGGAGGACTGTGCTAAAATGGAGGAATTTCCCTTCATCTTGCCATTAGATTGCATCTTTCCATTCATAAATATTTTTTCAAAATAATTATGAATGAGCAGTTATTTAGAATATCTATTTACAAAAATGATCATGTGGCATTCCTCAACCAAATTAGAAAAGGTCACAATATCATTGTATCACTGTAAAATTCTTATCTATCAAGCTCAACACTATGTATACCGCTCTTGAGAAGTATTATTCATATTGAGAAATTCATCCGAGAATATATGCTGGTAAATTTCATAAGCACACATACAGTACTGTGTTTCATCGGAGTGTGAGGCATAACTTTTAGTTCTGATAAGGACAAATCAAGGACTTTCATTGTAGTAAGGTCATTGCAGACGGGAAGATAAAAGAGTGGAGAAAATGAATATGAATGTAGACTGTACGAGAATACTTCTAATTAAACACTGATAATATCTTCTGGAAATAGTCATGTATAATTTTATGTGGTGATCATCAGAATTTAAATCAACGTCATAATGTCCATAAGATTTTTCTTGATGACAACCACTTAGGTATTTCACTTCAACAAATTAGGAAAAAGTTGCCTTACTAGATGTCAAAGTACAGATTTTATACAAATTTTTTCCCTATTTATTTAACTTTATATTTCAGATTTAAAGTCTTCATCTAAAAAAATACAAACATATTCCCTTTAATATAAAGAGATATGTGATAAGTTTAAAAAAATTCAAAGCTAAAACATTTATAACAATTGTCTTGGTTTTTAAACTATTTATAGGTTTTTTACTGGAAAAAGATAGTCTAATAGATTTCTTGCAGATTTTAATAAAGTGAAATCGATTTAAGACATAGGATATTTTTTTTTAAATAAAACAGCAAACCTTGAATCAATTGTTGACAATCATTTTATGATCATCATAAGCAATCATATAAAGAAAAATAATATAATTTTCATATATATATAATTTTTAAAAAAAATTAGATAGATGATATAATATGTCAATGACAATATAATTACTTTTCAACATAAATGTGTAGAAATTGTTGCTTTCAATTATTTAATTCAATTTTTATGAGTTGAAAATTATTTATAGTGAGTATAATACGTTGCATTATCTATTTTGTTTTATAAAAGATATGTTATAAAATCATGGCTATGTATTTATTTCAAATGATTAAAATTTGATATTAATATTAATATTTGTCAAGAAAAATCAAAGTTTAAGTTTAGAAAAACTTTTAGGTATCACACAATATATTGAATTTGATCTTACTAAATTATATTTTAACTGGCAATATAAAATTTCAATCATGCAAAAAATTCAATGTCTTGGTAAGTAAAGATTTTCATTACGTATCAAATTAATTAAATATTGATAGATTACAAATCTAAAGCAAGATATTTTAAAGGTATGATAGTTTATATTACTTTTTGGTCCACACTGTGTCAAAAAATTCTAATGTGTATTAAATAGTTAAATCAATGTTTGATGCATCAAATTTGAACTATATGCAAGATATAAACTGCATATTATGCCAAAATTGTTGTATGAACATCAGTTTGAGAGCGCATATAAATTTCAACCTATAAACAATTTATTCTTAGAATTTTTTTCTATGTCACTGATTATATTCACTTGGACTTTTATACATTGTTATTATAACATATCAATGTAGATCAATTATATATATTTTTTAATAACTCATATTATAATATTACTAAAATATAATTTTCTATTTTTAAATATATGAGCATCAAATTAAGGAAAATTATTATTGCATGTCATATATTAAATTCAAGTTTTTTCATATTAAGTTTATTTCATAAAGATTTATTTTTGGACTTAAAAATATAAAATCATTCAAAAGAAATGTTTCACATGAGTGAAAAAAAATTAAAAAAATATTTAAGTAAAAAAATTAATACAAATTTATTTCAAAAAATTATTTTATTTAGATTTTTAGCAATGATAAATTGATATAATTATATCATGATATAATATACTCACACTCATATGAAATATTTTTTTGATAATTTTTTTATTTAATGTCATCTCAAGCATCACAAATTATGATGTCATCATTCTTGTTATAGCATTTAAAAAAATTTAATGATTTTGAAACTTTCTATGAAATTTTCATAGAAAAAATATATAGAAAATTAAGGAAAAATTGAAAAAATAAATTTTTTTCCGAATTTTTCTTGAAAAAAATTTATTTTTTGGACTAAGGTATAATTATAGACCCTAATACTTCATCAGAGTTATTTAATGTAATTAGATATCATATTTACAGGTATGTGCAAAAGAAATTGAATCTATTACAACCATCATTCTTTGAAACTCAGCAAGTCGCTTTTTTATTACAAATTCAAGAAAAATGTCACGTCTTATGTAATTCCATTGTAAAACAATTGATCTGCTTAAAAGGTAGAATTAGTCATATTTTGATCCACAATGCAAAACATAATATTTTCATATATTTTTTATCATCAGTTAATCATTATCTGAACCACTAAAGCAGATTGTTTTATCACATGTGAAAGTTAATTCTCGAAATGTCATATGTAGTTTGCATCCGATTCTAAGTATAGTTTTCAGCCTAAAGATTTATCTACAAAATAAGATGTTAAATAAGTTTGATGATTATTCAAGAAAACTTGCCTAGCAATTCATGTAATATGCTAAAAATTTTGAAACAACTGACAAACATATTTGTCGATTTTTTAGGACAAATTCATCTTGTATATGAGTATATCAAGTTATTGTGATTAGCCATGAGGTATTATTTTCAATTGAAAACAATTTTTTTTTCAATTTTAGCAGACTTGTAGTGAAAGTTTTGTGAAATCCTTTGAATTTTGGAAGTAAATTCACATATTTCAATCAGTCTAAAATATGTAAAATAGAAAAATCATGTGAGTATTATATGATTTTAAATTACTTTTTTCAACTTTCATTAACACAGAATTTTGCTTTAGATATAATAATTTAAATATTTCTAATTTTAAACAAATTATCTATCTTTAATGTATTTTTACTTTAAAACATGCATGCTTAATTATGCATTAAAGTGGAATATTTTTCATTATTAAAAAATTCTAACGACTTGTAGTTCATGTTTTGATTATCAAAATCATGTACTGTTTATAACATGTATTTAATAGAAAGATTATCACTTTAATTCAGCTTTGTTCATGAAGATTGATGGTATTTTTTGATCATGTTCAATAGTTTTATATATGTCACAAATATTGATGAATGACATATATAAGATTTTTATTGACTATTAAACAATAAAATTATCTTAATCCTTTATAGAATTGACTACTATATTTTGAGAAAATACCAATCAATATTTATCTTGGATGTTTAGCCTATTATATGAATAAGTTGTTAGTATAGATCGCCTGAGAGCACGACTGGAATGGCTTAGAAAACCAATAGAGAGGAGAGGAGTAAAAATCTTCAAGGGTTTCTGCGTTCAGTCAATCTATGCAAATATTTTATTTTATTTTATTTTTAAATTATTATTATTTTAAATGTTTATTAAAATATTTTCTTATTAAAAATGAACATTGTTATTATTTTGATTGCTATAAAATACCTTCTGCGACGATTGGTGCATCTCGAATAGATGGCATGTATGTATTAATTTTTTTTTGTAAATATATAATATGAATACATAAGAATATTAATCTCATAATTTCAGTTAAAAGGTATGTTGATATTATTTCTTATGTTTAAAAATAAGACCAAAATTAAAATATTTTCAATTCATTAATTCAAGAATATATTGAAATTAGAGGTTTTGTAGAATGACAATTAACTATCCTGAAATGGACCGAACGACCAAGCAAAGATTGAAACCATTTCTCAAATTACACGTACAGTTTTTGCGCAAACCATGCATCAAAATGTCATTATCGTATATCTGCAACTCCGGTCTATGGTGCAAGATGGGTTAGAAGTTTTTTTTTGTCCCTTGGTGCGCCAAATATGCGATTTGTCGTCCCACTCGTCCCATTAAGCAAGGCCGGGGCAAGGTCTGTCTGTCGTCGAAGCACCACTAACTCGGACTCTCACCAAGTGTCAATCGAAACCGAAGCTTTGCATGTATCTTAAAATTGTCTTGGTCTTGAAAATATTTATAATTTCTTATTGAAAAAAGATAGTCTAATAGTACCAAAAAATGCAATTTCTTGCAAATTTTACTAGAAATTCAAATCTATTAACAACATAGAATATTTAAATTTTATTATAAAAAAGCAAAGCTTGAATCAATTGTTGATAATCATTTTATGATCATCATGTGCAATCATATAAAGACAAATAAATATAATTTACATATATATATATATATATATAACATTTTTAAAAATTTAGATAGATGATATATTTGTCAATGACAAGATATATACTTTTCAACATAAATGTGTAAAAATTGTTGCTTTGAATTATTTAATTTAATCTTTATGAGTTGAAAATTATTTCTAGTGAGTATAATACGTTGCATTATCTTTTTCGCTATATAAAAGATATGTGTATAAAATCATGGCTGTGGTTTTATTCTAGATTATGAAAATTTGATATAATCAAATTGATTCAAATCAAATTTATTTAAGAATATTTTAGAAATATCAAAGTGTAATTCAAAAAAACTCCTAAGTATCACACAATATATTAAATTTGATCTTGCTACAAGAAATTTTTATTTGCAAATATAAAATTTCAATCATGCAAAAAAATCAATGTCTTGGTATGTAAAGATTTCCATTACATATCAAATTAAATAAATATTGATGGAATACAAACCTAAAGCAAGATATTTTCAAAGTATGATACTTAATAT